ATCATACACCATGTAAATTTTAGCTCTTTACACAGATTAAGGACCAGCTAAAGGGCTGTCACATCAAAGATGCAGGGGAAATTCAGATGACTTTGATGAAGATTACTTTGCAGGAAGTCATGCATAATGACTTTTGGAAATGTTTGAAAACGGCTGTCCAGGCACTTGCAGAATTGTGTTGCTGCTGAAGGACAGCCGTTCAAAGGCCTTCTGTGTCTAAGGGTTTTATAATGTCACATATTTCAGACATGGCTCCTGTCCCAGTATTTTTATTAAGTTATATTGTAATTTATTGTCATTATAGATCATGTGTGGAAAATTGATGGGGACCACTGGTCTGTATACCCTGATGTTGGTTACTGCTACTAGTAGACAGTGACAGGTTACTGTTAATAATGGATTGCAATTACAGATCCGTTTTGCATCAGTACATTTCATAATTGTGATTTAGTTGTATTAATGTGTGATATATTTGTTCATTACATGTATTATGTTATAACTACGTAGTTTCATTGAGTTTAGAATTGCTTCCTGTTTTTTGTTTCAGAAGAAGTATTGATTGAATTTGGTGATACTTTTGAAAGACTTGGTATAACATGTTTTAAGTTTCTGTAATGTTTGAGTATACATTTTCATAGTATGACATTTACCACTTTACTTCAGGCTGTATTTTAACTAGATTTTCTAGTGTTCTTACTTGTGCTTAATTGCAGCTTAAATGTGAAAATTGCTGTTGAGATATTAAATTAATTATTTTATAGTGGGTATGAAGAATGAATTTGTTACTGCCATGTATCTTGTAGTGAAGTGTGAATTAATAACATCGACCAGACTACACAGCGCAATAACCCAGAAGACAGAAATCTTCATACTCACTGCTGTGAGAACCTCAAGTCTTACAATATAATTATTGCTTGTCCCAAGAAGATTGTCTCTTCTAATTAACTTCATATCTTTTCTCCTCCAGTTGATTTCTGTTTTTTAATCATTTAGTTTGGATCTTTGTAAAGTCTGTTGATTTTTCCTGTAGTGCTTTATTTCTGATATTTCTGTATCTCTGCTACTAAAGTGATTTCAAGTAAAGATATTTTTAAAGTGTTGAAAGGTGGGTGGAAAATTTTATAGTTGGGGAATAGCCTTTGCAGATAATTAAAATATACAATATACTTTAGTGCCACCTTTGGATGTCCTGCAGTTTGTATCATATTAATGGCTGCTTACATTTTTCTTATTCTTCATTTGTTCTACATTGATGCAAAATTGAGTGAGTAGACTTTATAGTAGTAAACTGTTTGTCATCATATATATTTTTTTACATTTGTGAATCCAAAATTGGTTAATCCTCACATCATTTTATAATCTAGTAGCATTGTGATTGCACCAAGCTAAAAGGAAGTGATGTTATGCATATCTGTTCTTGCTGCTGTGTTAGTAGTACAAACTGCTGAAACACGTTATTCACATCACACAGCATTTCTGTTTATGCTCATTTTTATGTGAGCTTAAATGTCAGCTAAGGAGTTTCTAACATTTTCAATACAAGTGCTGACTTTCTGTGAATTTTGATTCTGTATATACATTAAAATACTCTCAGCACATAATTTAATAGAAACTCTTAAATTTATTTATAATGCTTTAATGTTCAGAATATTTCTACAACTCCACAAATTTCAGTGGTTCTGGATCTGTATAGACAAGTTGAATGTTTGGCATTTTCCAAATTTGATTGCATCCCTTCTGATTTCCAAACCAATATTTGTTACGCAGTTATCTGATTTTCATTTCATTTCCTGACTTACTGTAGATTCTTTATTTTTCATTTTTCTTTATTTTCTTTTATCTGTTCCCATTAATACCGTCACAACCATATCGTTGTCGTCATCATCATATTTATTTTCTCATTTTTATATTATTTCGTACACATTTATTTGGAACTTTGTCAAAAATTCAATACAGTTATTTTATTTACAAGATAAACTTGTCTTGTGATATTAAATATGCCCATTATTATTATAGTGGTTATAGCCCCAAATAAATAACCTTAAATGTGGGGATATCATCTGGTGCTGTTACAGCCATTGCATCACAAGAATGTAGTACTCAGTCAATGTTTTGAATTACTAGGTGTAGAAGAGTCTGCTGAAGAAGAATCAAAAATAAAAAATGCTTACATGTATCTTGAAGCTAATTTAAAATATTGGTGCATTTGTAATTTATGTTTTACTGTGTTTGATTGCTGCAGGACTTGTACAAGAAACCAGTAATGGAGGAGAAGAAGCCATCAAGACTGGTGGGATCAAAAGTATCCCAGATTGCAAACATCTTCCAGAGCATGGTACCTGCCAAAGAGACTGAGGTTTTGATCAGCAACTCTGCTCCTCTACGGAACAAACCATCTGACTCTTCACCAAAACTGGAACGGAGACGAACAGCTACAGGAACAGAGGAGGCATTGAAGGAGCCGTCAACACCCCGTGATTCTCCGACTCAGGTGACAGTTGTTCGCACTGAGAGTCATGTCGCTCGTTTCAACAATGCCCGTGCATTGTTCGAAAAGTTGGGGGCAGAGGATGGTCGTGGCATCGTCAGCAATACTGTTAAACCAGAGAAACCAGTCACAGTTCTTACCATTACCACAGGTCCCAAGTTGCCTGTGAGTCAAGGCCTTCATGGTTTACGGTCCCAATCCAGTTCTGATAACTCCTCCTCTGGTACATCTCCAATACGTTCACCTCGAACAGCAATAGGTTCACATCATTCCTCTCGCTCACCTTCTCCCAGAGAACGAAATCAAGGTGATAGTGTCTCAATGGGTGGGGGATCTTTATTTGGTATTGTGAGCAGTGGGACATCAGAAATTGATGGACGGAAGTCACTTACCACCAACGGGCATCAAACTAATGGAGGCCTAGATGTAGATGAAGAGGTGACTGTGCTATCAACAAATGTTTTGACAAATGTTCCAACATCTGCCACAGAGAGATTATTGCAGACACAGAATCTGCGTACAGCTGGGAAAGTGACAGAGAGTAATCGTTCAAATGGGATTATTAAAATTGAGAATGAGAAGGCAGTAACTGAGGAGACAATCGGAGGGGTGACAAGTTTGACAAAGAGGCCAGAAAAACCAGAGAAACCAGAAAGAAAGTTTAACAGTAGGGAACTGATTGAGAAACAAAGGAACTGGACATCACATTTTTCAAAGTCTCGTTCATCACGTTATAACAGTGATCCCAACAAAACAGAAGTGCGAGTGGGTTTGAGTGCTGGTGCCACAGAAAACAAGGCAGCTGTACTAAGTTCTCAACAACAAGCTCAGAAGTCAAAAGGTGATAGCTCTCTGCCATCAACAAACCCAGCAGCTCGAAGTGCCTCATTCAGTGCCACAAGGCCTGTGAGGTCTCCCACTGTATCCCCACCACCACCTCCTGTTCGAGTAGGACAGCCTTCACCCATCAGTCCCACACCACGACACGAGAAGAAGGTTGGAAGTCCGACAGAACCTCCACCATCTGTCTCACCAGTCAGGGACACCATTTCATCAAGGTAGGTAATTAAAGTATTTCTACACAAAAACTTATTTTGTCAAAGATTGGTTGAAAATACTGCACCAGGGATGTGATATATAAGCACTAAAAGAAGGCATTCTGTTTTGTCATGATTGTGTCTTTCCTTTTCTTTGAGTGTGTCTCAGGTTCCCTGAGGAATATCATTCTGAAGTGTTATACAGGATGGATAATGGATATGAGAGAAGGGATAGTGATTTCCTCATGAGGTTGGTGAAGTTTTTATCAAAACTGGACAAGTGTGGATTGTTTTAAGTAAGGAGGGTGACCTGGTAGTAAACACAGAGAAAATTAAGTACTTGTATATGTGAGATTTCAGGTTCTCGTGTTGGTGAGTGACAGTCTTCTGAGTTGTTGCACCATTTAGTCCGGTAGAAATTTACCATCGTTTCAGAGGTGACTGAAGCCTCCATCATCATGCAACATTTTTTAGTAGTAAAATTTGTTTCCCCAGCATTAATCACTAAATATTCACTTATTACCGTCTTCCTGAACATACTGCTTAATTGTGCTGTGATCTGACACTGCCAGACAGTTTAAAATTTAAATGCCCTGCAAATCATTATATTTTACTGTGTTAGGTATAACAGAGCCCATTTCTATGTAATTAATTTTACTGCATCAGTTTCATGACTTTACCTGACATTTACAAACCCCGCTCTGAAAGCTACTTGGTCTATTGATTCAGCACATCTTTAAAATAATTTATCTCATTTTCCAGTCTCAATGATGACCTGTTGAAACAGCAGCCTAAAACATCACCAGAAGTAAACAGTACATCAACCAGTACTTCCATAGGTAAGAAAAGTATTTTGATTTTTGTAGTACACATAATTTGCAAGAATTGTTCTAAACATACATACTTTGGTATCTGGTGAATTTATTTCTTGTTCCAAATACCATGTTTATGTTTCCCTAGTTGTTAAACAAAATTTTGTCTTTTCTCTGTCATTTTTTGAGTGTTGTGTTGTGCCTCTCTGGATGAAAAAATTTAATTTCTTAACCTACTTTTCATACTCCATAGGAAAGACTAGCTTATCATATCATCATTTCTGTGGGTCTGTCCTGAGACAGTTGACAGTTTTTTATAAAACATGGTATGCTCATGTCATTGGAGATTACCTCACCTTTGTAGGTCTTGATTTCCTGCTATCAGGAATACCAACATTGAGGCCACATAAACTTGTTGATGAGTACAATACTAGTATACCTAATGTAGGGTTCCGTGGTACAAGATCTTGGACTGGATTCATCTTGTGCAGGGTAGGGAGTAGTAGCAGGCTCCTGTGAACGTGTAAATGAACCTTCAGGTTCCGTAGTAGGTGGGAAATTCGTTGACTTTAATGAGTGACTATTAGCATTTCGAGAAAGAATCCACTCCAAGTTGTGAAGGTGAGTAATTTATTGTTTGAGGGTGGAGGGGCTGAGACATGTATGAAATTTAAAATAACATTACAACGGCACAACCTTGGCCCTAAGTCAGGGTCCTCATCTCTGACTTAGCACTTGGAGTAAAGGTAGTGTTTATGTGTATGATTGTCCATTTGTAATCCTGTGTTTTTGTACATTATGGATGTCTTTGTTAATTCCAGCTCACACTGAAACTGCATAAAGTTAATATCCATTCAAAATTTATTTTGTAGCTCACTTGATAAAACAGAGAACATATTGTAAGTAAAGATTTATACCCATTTCATCAGTTGAATGAAATGAAACATTTTTGTAAAGAGCAGCTTGTTTACAACAAGTATGATGTTCCCATTATAAATAATGATTTACAGACATTTGGATATCTCAAAACAGATACATTTCTTTGTTAATTCCAGTAGCATGTGAAGTACAAGTTATGTGTGTTTATTCAAGTATTTCCAACAAAAACAGAGAATCAGATGCTGGCCCATATCCAATGGGGGTGTGATGCAGGAAGGTGGAGGAGGGTCCTATTTATAACTAGTTTGCAACTTGGGAGGGAATCATCAGCCCCTGAAACAGTTTCCTGTGTGTGAGAGAGTAAGCAAGTGTAGCCACATAAAGCTGCTGTTACTCATCACAAAGTGGCTGCAGGTTTTTGAATGAAGGCTCATTAGAGTTCACTGGACTGTTCTTTATATTCATATGCACCAGTCTGTGCAGTGTATCGTGTGGTTTTTATGTGTGCACTTATTTACAGGAGTGTGTAAAATATAATTGTGATATCATTCGCCAAAACCAAGTCTGCATTGTGATATTTGAAACTTCAGATTCTCAACATCAGAATTCTGTATTTAGTATATTACTGTGTGTGTTCCTCTTCCGTATACTATGTATTATTGAGAAATAGTGTTATTTAGACTTTGTATATACATTTGGTAGTAGGAAATTGATTTAATATGAACATAGTATTATGTTCTTCATCCAGCTGACCAAATTATATGATAATTATAAGTTTTAGAGACTGTTTTAAAACGTTACTGAATAATAAGTTGACCATGTCACAGCTCAGTGGTTTCTCACTACAGAGGAATGGGTTAGCTGCACCCACGATTGTCATTGTGGAATTTGTGATGGACAGTGGGGCAGGTTTTTTCCCAGGTCCTTTGGTTTTTGGCTGTCATCATACTGCCACTTCTCCATATTCAGTCATCTATTATCTGAGGGATGGACATTGGGCAATTACATGTACATGTACTTAAGCCAAAAATTAAATATATCTAGAAAACTGAATTCTCAGGGTGCCATATAATAATTTAATTGGCCTGATGATGGCTGTCTTCTGGGATGTAGTCCCTGTGTTGCCCCAGAGGAGCTCAGGTTGATGAAGCATTTCTGAAATTCTGAAATGTCTGGATTTTGATGCTGTATTACCTTGTAGTTTGTTATAAATTTTTCACAGGAACATATCACTTCAATTTTTTACCCTGAAGATGGAGGCAGTACATTTCTGTGGAACATTGGTAACCACCCACAAGACTACACAGCTTCAGAACCCTGAATGCAATAATTCAAATATTACTGCTGTATTTTATATTACAGTTGAGTCCCAATTATCTGACTGTCGATTATCTGACATTTATTTCGTTTTATTATGCCATGTCAGAATGCTCAGTTTTATCGACAATCAACTCAGCTTGTAGCAGAATTAATCACACTCATGCACCATGTATTGCTAAGTACTATTTTTGATGGTGGATTTTTTATTTGATGTAATGTTATGTTTTCTTAATAATTTAATAATATTGTAAATTGAGTTGATATTTACATTTTCATTGGTCACTTGTATTTTATGACTGTTCTGCAGTCTCCTTTAGGTCAGATAATTTGGACCGTGCTGTATCTTAATTCATTATTTTGTTATTTATGACATTTTTGAGATCAACTTTGCGACCTGGTTGTATAATATTTTAATGTTAGACTATGGCTAGATATTTTGTTTTCATATGCAGAACAGGAGATGTGTTAGTGCATAAAAGTGAAGTGAAGGTGTTCGTTGTTTGGCTTGTGGACGGCTGTTGAAGTGCAAATTTCACCCTGGGAGTAGCAGTGTCTGTATCTTAATCTGGTTGTGTACCATCTCCTTCTCTCTGTTTATCTCCCACAAACTATGTGTCTACGTCTCCTCTGCACCAGTTGCTCGGGTATGATCCTAATGGTGTGATGTGCCAGTTGTGAACAGTGCTCAAAATGGAAAGTAATAGGCTTTTGCAAAATTCTACCCCAGTAGCTAGTTCAGTGTCAGTTATATCAGTGTGCTTAGTTTAATTTGGATAATCTCAAATTTTTAACTCATACTAATGCAAGCAAAAAATATTATGGATGTTGGTCTTCTGGGTTATAAACAACATGTGGACTTGTAAGTGTGTACACCAAAATTCTGGAGGCGCATGATGCCTTTGTATGAACTGCTCAGTCCGTATGGTGTTTTTCTACAGACTGGATAAGCGTGATTTAATCCTTGGCAGGGGCAAAGGATTCTTTTTTCTAGCCTCTACATCGAGACCTTCCCCATGCCCCACCCACATGGGAGTAAAGCATGGCTAGGGCATGATGCTGACCACTCACCCCATCTAGTGCTGAGGACGTATACCTCCTCCCACTCAAGTGCCTTCATGGCTTGTAGCAAGACAGCTTTACTTTATACTCTCTCTGTATTTTCCATGTACCTCTGAAACATTTGTATCCACCTACAACTTTGCATGATAATATAACCCATAGGACCAACCGTGATATCTTCATCACTATGAGAGCCTCAAATCCCAAGTAATAAATTTTATTGCATGTGCTAAAAATAAATTATTTTTAATACTGAACATAATAATACATTGCAATTAGCTAAGATGTTTACATTTAAATATCATTATACATTTCATCTTATTTTCCAGCCCACACAATTATTTATAGTAGGCAGTGGCTTATGTCCTTAAACTGCCAACGCGTGATAAAATTGTGATAATTAAGAACCTTAATGTCATACAAGTTTTATTACTTTCCTTAATTTTGATTACTGGTTATGACATTTTTTAGAATTATCTCAGTTAACAGGATTTAAACTTTCAGTTGGATGGTGTCAGTTGTTAATCTACTGTAATACTTTTTTTACTCAGTGATATGGTTTGGGATTGGTAAATTTGGTGCAGTGTTGTATTAAGTAGTGTTTTCTGTGAGTGTCAGTACCTGGAATGTCCTGTGATCATCGTATTGAGTCACTTGGAAGCACAGGTGGTGAAAGATGGTTCTGCTTGGTATATTTGTGTACGTAGTATTGCCCCGTAGTTTATAGTGGGTTGTACATTACAGAATAATAATGATTGACTGACCATAGCTGATTGAATAGTGGACCTACTTCTTGATGATATTCTTGATAGAGTACATGATGATGGAAACAACAATTTTATTTCGCTGGTGGAATCTTGGGCAGTTATGAAAGGGATAATACAGGATGTGATAGAGGTAATAAAAGCATTTGTGACTGACAGTTTTGTCTGAACACAATTTTAGTTTGCTGTTGTGTGAGTTAAAGGAGATTAAGGTCTCACAGCCCTTGTCCCTTGATATGCAAGATGACTTTGTTTTAGGGTACCAACACTTGGTGGGGGGGAGACAAGTTTTCCCTTTCTGTTGTTAATGAATTATGAACATATTCTGGAAGAATGGAAATGCCATAATTATCCTTGTTTTTAGGAAACAAGCCAAAATTAACTGTTACAAGTATGAAGACATTTATCTTTTAAGTGCCTGTATTAAGATTAACCATTACATTTATAAGTTAAGAGCACAGCATGTCTACATTCATTTCTTATAGAGTGTAATAAGGCTTTCTAAAGGGTTAATAATGGAGCACCTTATAAATTGTGTTAAAAGCTTGTGTGTAGACATCTCAGTACAAATAGAAATCACAAAATTTGGAACTAAAACCCCAGTAATAATAAACCATTTGAGTAACACAAGGTACTTTTAACAAAGTTTCATATTCAAATAAAAATTGTATTTTATATTTTCAGTATCATGTTGATGTGAAACTGTCATTCTATGTTAAACTGCATACCTGTATGATTGAAACATGCTTTTGAAATGTGTGTTCAGGGCAAGGAAGTGACACCAATAGTGCAAGTAATCTTCCTGTAGCAGTGACTAGTGATGCTGAGAAGCGAGCACGCGAGGAGGAAGCAGGAGAAGTTTGTTATGACGTTGCCCATGTTGACAAACGCGGCAAAAAGATGGTGTCTTCAGTTCAGCTCCATCTTCAGGCTGCGGGGCTTGGCCCTACCAAACCCGTATCTGTAGCTAGTTCCAGAGAAGAGTCCAGAGGTTGCCTCCCATCATCTGAACCTGAAATAAATCACTCTACGGAGAGTAATTCCAGTCTTTCAAGCGGAAATATTACTGATATATATCCTTCTGCGCCTATCACAAATTCAGTGCTTCGTGAACTAGAGAATCAGGACTCAGATAATACTTCTTGGTTACCGGCAGCTAGATATACTGAGATCACCAATCATGAGTGTAGTGAAAAGGTAGAGGAATCTAAATTGCTGCAAGTTGTAGGTCAGCAAGATACTTTAGCGTGGAGATATAATGAAGGTACAGTTGCTAAGTTGCAGTCTGATGAAGAAGGTGATAATGAGAATGGTGTTTCTGAGATTAAGAAGCGGACTGATACGGATTTAAAAGTGAATTCAATGCCAGCGCTTCACTACGAAGAACCAGGGCAGTTGAGTGAGAAAGAACAAGTTAACAGTGAAGCAGAACTAGGGCCATTGGTTGGAACAGTTAGACAAGGTTCCTGTACTCCAGAAATTGAGATGGAGACAAGTAAAACCAGTGCTGATGTGATTGGTGGTAGTGGTTACATTGCTTCTCATATTGTATCCAGTGATGGAAATTCAGATTTGCCTATTGTCTTGGGACCAGCAACAGATGTTGATTCCATCAAAATGAAGGTTGCTGCTGGTAGCTGTGCATCAGTGACAGAACAGTCCATCAAGTTCTCTGTTCAGGAATCAGAGCCATTTTTGGTATCTCAGTCAGTTGTCCGTCCTGAAGAAGTGAGTTCTCCCCCTTCCGTTTCCCCCACAGTGACAGCTAGAGCAGGATCACCTGAGCAGCGTGAGGGTGTGAAGGAGGCTTCATCAGAAGCAAGTATCCTAGATCTACAGGATGTTGAATATGCTGATGCTGATGCAGAAGATGGAGACGACGAAGCTGAACATGAGGAGGAAAGAATTAAGGCACCTGAGGACTTCTCACAGAAGGTATGTTTCAGGTAGAATTCAGTTGTATTGCATGGCTCACTAAATAAATATTAAATATTGGTGTAAGTTTAGTTGGTATTGAGCAGAAAACACAATCACCTTGAATTCAAACAGCTCTTTGTTCTGAATTTATTGTGTTGTGTAAATGTATGAGGGGTCTGCAGAGGCTGCGCGATCTGAGGCGTGGGCCTTGTGCCATTTGGTCGCTAGGACCGTGGGTTTGATTCCCACTCAAGCCATGGATGTTTGTCTGCGTTTTTCTGTGTTGTGCTGTCCTGTGTACAGGTAGAGGCCTTGCAACGGGCCGATCATTCGTCCAAGGAGTCCTACCGAATGTATTTAGATCAAGCCAACGAAAAGTTGGGACCCGCAGTGCTCAGGCACTTGAAGAACAGGTCGTTCCCAGTATCCAGTAAATGTGTGAACAAGGGGACATGCATATATGCATGTGTATTCGTGTACTAGTAGTATGAGTATGTATGTGTAGGTGTATTTTAAAATCTTTGATAGTTTTATATAGAGATAACTCTGTTGGTGAAGTGCCATTGTATTGTTTTATATGTACTTTTCTTCTGAGGTAACACTAACTCCAGCTCAGAGAGGAAATGACAAGAATCAAGAAGGTTACCAGCAGCAGGAAGGTCCTAGAAGCTTGGCTTCAGATGTTCCTGAGACCATGACACCAGATGAGGCAGAAAATTTGCTTAGTTCAAGGTGAGTACTCTGCAGTGAAACATTGCATTTTGGAGTAATGGAAAATAAACAGTGATTAGATCTAATGGGGAAATTGTATTGGTTCATGCATCAGATCTCTCTTTTGATCTGTAAAGATGAGTGAAGTATCATTTAGAAACATGTACCAATTAAAATTATGCATGAAATATAAGGATAGCTGAGAAGTTAATCAGTGCAAGTCATTAAACTAATTGCAGAAGAAATAAAACCATTATTATTAATTTAGATGTATAATTTAATATATAAGGTAAGTACAAAAAATGTTCCATGAAAAACTTTGTTTGGTTGCTTAATTTTTATTGGCATAAAATTGTTCTAGTAATGTATAAACACATTACACTTCGCAAACTGAGTCATGTCTTCTACTGATTGGCTTCTGAATTGTTCGTATGAAAAATTGCTGCTTTCTATAATGTTATCTGGTTTTGGGCCTGTGGTTTGTTTGTACTGCTCACTGAGTTTTATTACACATACCACATTTGTGCGTGTGTGTGTGTGTGTGTATGTACATTGAATCCACAGAGAAACTGGCATTTATCTCATAGTGTGTAGGTAGCTGTTAATGCATGGATGCTTATAGCTGATGCATGATCAGTAGCTTGAAATAATATTATTCAAAGATATTCATTTATCTGAATAAAATAAATTTAATATTAGAATAACAAATATTCATTGAACATCTTTTGTTTTGTAGGATTTGAGATTTTCATGGCAGTGAGTCTGAAGATTGCTGTCTTCTGGGTTCCATACTACATGGCGCAACAACCCAGAAGACAGCAATCTTCATCTTTTGTTTTGTTAGTGTTGTTCTTCTGCGTTGTAAAACCATGTGCAGTTGTACGTAGATAACCATCATGGAAGAAGATACTGCCTCCATCTTCAAGGGTGAAGTGAGGATGTTAGGCAGTATGTTCCTCTGAAATGATGATAGCTACCCACAAGTCCACATGACATTACAACCCAGAATACCAACACTGACATCTTCATTGCCCTAAGAACCTCAAAATTCATATTTTATTTTAGTCAGATCTTCCCGATTTTTTGTTCTGTCAAAAATGCTGTCTGTTCCATATTTAAAATAATCATCTTCAAGCCATACATTACTTTCACAATGTATCAGTTTTGGAAAATTCAAATTTTATGCATTAGAATATTACTTTTAAGTTACTGCATTTATTACATATGTTGATGTCATGCATTGAAAATTATGTTTTTTATTCAGCATGATTTCATTCACATGTTGCCATGTTGTTTAAATACAACATATCATTATGCTAGCAAGTCAAAGGGCCTAAAATATGGGTACCACATTTTCATAAATAGGCACAGCAGCACTTACTTCAGTTTGCAGCTGTCTTTCTTATTGGATGCACCCGAGACTTTAAAATAATGACAGAAATCTGAATATTGACTAATTATTCTAATTATGAAATATGCCATTACTCTTAAGTTTGGAAACAGTAATTCTTGTATGCATGAATGAAGTTGGTAACATATTTTTAACTTGTGATATGTAGTATGCAATGCCATTGCAGACTATAATACAGTAGTGTAAGAAATTTGCATTGCTTGCCATTTGACTAATTTCTGTTGTATTTTCTGCTCTTCTTGCTGTACCCTGTACCTGCAGCATTCTGGAAAAGAAAATACGGTGAGTTGAGTCGGGACCAATTCGGTGTTGGTATTTACATTGAAAATTGGTTCTTCCATCAGAGAATCTTTATTCATATAAGTGTAAACGGACCTATTGTATTATCTAGCACATCTGTAACTTTAATCTTTATTGACAAATAATTTTTCAGTGCTCTGTTGGTTATTATAGTAAGCAGAGCACCCAAGTGTGTATTAATTGCTCAGAATTTGTTTATACAAGTTGGTTTGACAAAAGCTTGAAAAAGTTGGACATCTGTTTGTTATTGTATGACTGTGGATGAATTCTTACAAAAATAGTGTAGAATTGTAATTGCAGAATTTAGTACTAATATTAAAGAGTGCCCTTAATGCATCAAAATATGAAGTGTAAAAAGGTTAAAAATATTTATTGTGCATTTGTTTATTTTGGAACAGCAATCAACTAAGTTACTAGTGACTGGGCACATGTAAAGATTCTGTTATATATCAGGAGGTTCTTTAACAGCCAGATTTATTCAGATTTGTGCACAATGAGTTTATTATCAGATTCTGTTTGAAACATTTACTGAATATCTACATTGGAAATGTCATCCCATATTGTAAGGAAAATTGATGGAGGGACATCATTGCAGACCAGCATAAGATGAGATCTAGTTTCATATCATTGCTGTTGAAAAGATTATTGTGAAGGAATTGGTTAGCATTGTATTTTATAAAGAAACTGTAAATTGTATTGAAAATTAATTTCTTAATTTTTCTTCATTAGAAAATGATACACGTTATCCAGAACTTACCCACATTAGCTATGCCACTGCCGTGTATTACCATAAGAAGATTCAGTACATTTTCTGTTAAGTAGATAGTTCCATCTGAAATGTTTTTAGCTATATCAATGGTTGATACATTTTGAAGAAAGTCTGTTATCTGAGGTTTCTTTTATCCAAAGCATCTAAACTTTTTTTTAAAAAACTTTGTTTTAATAAATAACTAATATAACTAACTAGCATAAACCTGCTGCCAATTAATATACTTAATATCTTATCTGGCATGAAGCTATATAATTTTAATTGCTGCTTCTGTGCTTCATGACAGTCTGCAAAGCCATTACTATTCACAGGGTATGTTCAGGTGATGGTTCAGTCATTAGAGGTTTTACACAGCAGTATGATAACCATGTATTTGTTTCTGCAGTCAGGAAGGTCTGTTGTCAGATGAAGAAGCGCAAGAAGTCACGAGACTGCTGTCTCCTACAGATGAGAAAGATCAGGAAGACCCAGAATGGTTAACTGATGTCCTTTCAGTCACAAGTGATTCCTTAATACAAGAGTCTACACTTGACTACAGGTGTGTATAGATTAGTGTACTTCACTGTTGTTTGAAAGGAATTACTTTTCCTTTCTCAGAAGGAACTATCATTTTAGGCTCGAGTATTTTTCTGCTAAATAATTTTTCAGGTTGATGTTTTCACTTTATAATTGCAGTTTGCTAAGCCTGCTTCTGGTATAGTGTGTCTAATGGATATTTTCATGGCATTACTTGATTCAACAAAACAGGAGTTTAAATTCAAAGAAACCAGCCAATCAGGTATTCTATAAGGGGTAAGAATGCATAATCAAAAGATTGGAATACCAGAATACCATACAGAATTATAACTTTCCATCTTTATGCAAATTAGATGAGTGATGAAGGGATTTGTACTTCTTGAATCAAGGGCCCACAGAGACAGTGCAATACTAATGGAGAATTTATGTGTATTGTGAGTTTTTTCCATACTGAGATGAATAGTGTGCTTTCGTATTTTTTCAAAAGTTTATGGTTTCAGAAAACATTCAGTAATGTTCTAATGTCACACACACACCTATCCATCCATCTATTTGAATTTTATGGTTTTATGTTATTCATCTTATAGTGATGCTTTGAATATATATATATATATAGGTCCAGGAGTGAAATGAGTGTGACAATGGAGGACTCGATGACATCTAGCCATGTTGGATCTCGGTCTGGATCAGAATCTGGACTGCTTGGTTCAGTGAGTAGCCTTAATGATCAGGATGGCATTGGTGATCAGGAACCAAGGATTGAAGATTTTATGCCCCAGCCAGGGAAAGTGGTAAATCTTGGTCATATCATGTAACTAACTCCTGTAGATTTTATACTGCACATTGGATTAAAGTTTTGTGTGTTGGATGGATTGTGTGTGTCTACGTACATGTGTATAAATCGACCCAGTAAATGAAACGCTATGACTCTAGGCTGACGGAAGACTAAAAGATCTTCACACAGACATTGGTGTTTTAGCTTCCAATCTTCCTTTTTGTAGGTATATACTAACAGGATTTTAAAGTGATGATGATGACAATGACAGTAATCTTGCACATTTCAAAATTTCTTCTATACTGAAGACATCAGTCTATAATCAACCATTACTGTACAACAAAATATTCTTCAGTGTTCTGTCATTCTACTATCAGTGTGAAAATTCACTGTGTGAATGTAATTTATTATGGTAACAGTTTTCAGTGAATATCTCTGTGTGACACACATTTTATTTACCAACTTCTTTTGTTTAAATATTGTTCACTGTGTTTGATTCTAATGGAGTGAACATATATTTCCATGTTTAATGCTTCATTGTGAAGTTGTCTTGCATTCTACCAACAGCTTAATTTTTTACTTTGTAACTTGTGTCATTTTCCTCTAGGTAATTGTAGAGAATGGTGTTCATTACTTTGAAGATGGTCACTTCTGGATGGAAGTTCCTGGTCTTCCAGAATCAGAAGAGGAAGATGATGTGGATTTCCCCATTCCAGTGAAGAAGAATACTAAGGTCACATTTAGTACAGGGCCAATCAAAGTAAGTAAGATAGCAGAGATTTTTCTGTTTGCCACCATGTCCGCACTGCCTGTACGCCCCATCCAGTCTCTTGTCTGTTGGGTACCATAGTTTCTTTTATTAGAGTAAAGTAGCTGGGACATGACAAAACCTATCTGCATCTGGTCTCCAAGTTAAAGAGAACTTTGTCTTTCATGGACATAATTTTATTTTTTTATATTATTACTTTTACTTTAATATGTGCAGAGTATTTTTAAATTGTATTCAAAAACTTTGAATTAATTTATAAACTTACTTCTAGTTCCTTAGCTTAGGACTTTTAGTTTATGGGTCAAACTACGTTATTACCATCACTTCAAAAGACTTTCCTCACAATTCAACACCAGAAAATTTACTTCTTTATGGATTCATAAACCTTCTTATTCTTCTCTCAAAAACACGTGAACTTTGTCTTCAGACAACCAAGCCTCTCCATTTGTCTCTCTCGTCCTACATCTTCTCCTCCTCAGTTGTGTCCCATATTTTCCTCTTGGTTCATCTTCACCTCAGCCTTCCTCTCAGGTGTGTTCTTTCTGCCTTTGTGTTCAAAACCTTTGCAGTTATTTCTTAATTTATTCTGAAGATGTGTCCTTGCCATCTTAATTTGTTAATTTGGCTTCCAAGATGTTTAATTGCTGTCTAATTTTTTAATTTCTTATTCTCTTGAATCTTTTCATATAGGAAATTATTTATCTAAATTGTGAATGTTACACTGTAGCTAGTTAAATGAGATTATTGTGTTGTGTCAACATAAATTGGATTTATGCAACAGGTATACAGCACATTTTCTGTGAATGATTATGATCGTCGTAATGAAGATGTTGATCCAGTGGCTGCATCAGCAGAGTATGAGCTTGAGAAGCGAGTGGAGAAGATGGAGGTGTTCCCTGTGGAACTGACCAAAGGCCCAGAAGGTCTTGGACTCAGCATCATTGGAATGGGTGTTGGTGCTGATGCAGGCTTGGAGAAACTAGGTATCTTTGTGAAGACTATCACTGAATGTGGTGCGGCTGCTAGGGATGGCAGGATTCAGGTTAGTATTGTTGTCACAGAGGATTTAGTAGTATCTGTTTGGATGTGTATACACGAATTAAAAGTTATAGTTAAAATTCTAGGAATGTAACATTAGTATGTACAGGAAATGTTATGTGTTATTAGACCCAGAAGTTTCACATTACGGCAACTTAGTTTGTCACCAAATCCAGGTTAGAGCTACAGCTATACACAGATGTGAAATTATTCAGAATTTTCTGACATTTAATTTTTGTAGATGTTTGTGAAACTTCATCTACACTCCTTACTTTTACTGGCTCTTAAATGTTTCATCATAATCCGGAATGCCTTGAAATGTCAAGATGAGCTGATCAAGCTCAGTAATTGTGTTTTTTTTGTTTTTTTTTGCATCTGTGTTGTTTGTTCAGGTGAATGACCAGATAATAGAAGTTGATGGAAAGTCTCTAGTTGGAGTCACCCAGGCATATGCAGCTTCAGTACTTCGGAATACTTGTGGTCTTGTTAAGTTCCTCATTGGCCGGGAGAAGGATCCTCAGAACAGCGAAGTGGCTCAGTTAATAAAACAATCTTTACAGGTAGGTTCAGTATGCAGTGTATGAAGAATTTTACCTGTCGATAGTGAAAGTTTACATTAATTTTTACTTTGTATAATACAAAAATCGTTTAGTGTTGAGTTTTGCACATCTTCCTTGGTAGGCTGACCGAGAACGAGAAGAACAACGTCGACAGATGGAACAGCAGCAGCAACAACCACCTCCACGAAGCTCATCACGGGGCCTCCATCATGCTAGTGATGGTGGCATAACATCACCAGATGGAACCCGCTCCGAGGACAGCAGTTTGACCCTGCCTCTCACAGGCACTTCTCCCACCACATCATATTCATCTGAAGGCCCAACTAGCCCCCCAGGTGCCAATGACAGTGTCTTTGACCATGATGCTTCTAAATCATCAGCTTTATCAAATGATGTTGATGCGCTGAGACTGCTTCTACAAGAGGTAATTTCTAATGCATAATGCAGTATGTACGAGTTTCTGTTTGAAGTTGTTTGTTTTAATGAATACCCTTAATTTAAGTTAACTTTCTTGCAATGATTTTTATGTTTATTGTAACACGTCTTGATTGTATATGTTTGAAATGTTAGCTGGTGCTTGTGGCAGTGAAACATATTAGCTTTGAAGTGCTGAAGCATGCGTCCTGAAATTCAGCAAGTCTGAAGATTGAATTCTGAATATTTATGAAAATATAACTACTTCCAGTCTTTATACTATCCTGAGACTCTTTAAGATAATAAATTTGACCCTCGTTATATATTGAGAAAACTATTTGTGAGTGCATTGCCAGAAATTTTAATTGTGAATATTACTACATTTACAAATCTGTGAAAGAATTATTATCCCTTGGTAACACCTTTTATATACATTTAAAAATATTTTAATTTATGCTGACTGTTGAGAAACTCAGAACAAATGTTAAAATCAAGTACAGATCTGAGTATAATAAAGAAGACGTACACATTTCCATTATTTTAGACTTCTCACTTTAGACATCTGTCCTTTGGATATTGACAGAGAATAATAATAGTTTGTGGAAGTTGAAATTTCTGATTAACCAACCACAAAGAATTTAATTTTAACAAATATAATTGACATTGTGGCAGCTTACATGTGATACAGTCTCTTACCAGTAGTTATGTTTTTCGTAATCGTATATAACACATTTATGTTTCCTGTATGTTTTGTTTGCATCATGTTTATTGTTTCGTGATTGTGTAGCATGTTGCATTATTTAATGTGTTTGTTTATGTGTGGGTGTACTTGTTTGTTTGTTTTAATGTTTTGGAAATTTATCACTCTTTGATTTTCAGAGTCAATTCAAAGTTGCATTAGCTGATGGTGATATCTCAAGGCTAAAAGCTAGGGTAAGCATTGCTCCTGAGCGGTTCTCATGTGCTAATCAATACTGTCAAGATTACTTGTTCAGTTACTGATTTTAAGTATACCAAATAGTGCAGTTTGTTTTCAGTGAAACTGTAGAAATATTACAAGAACATTTATATGTAATGTCTTATTATGTACTTGGCATGATTTTAAATATTATTGCTTTAAACAGTGCATGAGGCTCGCACTGAATTGTGCTAACATGTTTTGTGTTGAAGGACACGTACTTGATTTTGATTACCAGTTTTAACCTGATTGGATAGTTTTAACACTTGCTTTTAATGAGATTGGATACTAACAGGATTGAAACAAATGATGATGATGTTCTGGATTTTGGTGCCATGTAGACTCGTGGGTAAGATACCAACATTTGAAGATTTCTGTCTTCTGTGTTGTTGCCCCTGCGTAGTCTGGTCGATGTTAACCAACGTTTCAGAGGTCATACTGCCTCTGTCATCAGGGCGATTCATCGACTAGGCTACACAGCGCAACAACCCAGAAGACAGAAATCTTCATACTCACCACTGTGAAAACCTCAAATCTTACATACGAACATTTTATAAAAACATACTGTCTCCCTCTTTAACCTTGAAGATGGAGACAGTATGTATATTCATTGTTCAAAAATTCATCACTCCCTAAAAATTAGCTTACTTGTGGTTGTTTGGGTCTGGAAGGCGAGTATTATTCTGTGTGTGGAGAGTTTGCTGTGGGTTCAGGGGTGGTGGTGCTAGTGTTTGGTTTTGGGTTGCTTGTTCACTGTGTCTGTGTTGGGTCAGTTGGTGGAGATGGAGCAGAGTGGACTAGACAGTGAGGAGTTCCTTGAGAAACTTCGACAGTCAACGATGAAACTGCGAGAGATGGAACACAGTCTACTTGCAGCTAAGAAGGATGTGGCCAGCTATCAGGATATGCTGGAACAGTCTCAGGTCAGTCAGATAATATTTTATGCTATGCTATTTAGAGGATGCTTGCTTTCTTGCAGCTTGGCCCTCAACAATAATCGCTGCAGGGCTTTGTCCCATGGGCCACCTCTCCCCTGTCTTGTCCACCAGGCCTGGACACTCCTGTGCTTCTACCATCCTACTTGCTATATTTGTGTAAGAAGGGCCTACAGTCATTGTTGGAACACATTGTTGCCCAACATGACAGATCACATTTGTGCTACAGTGGCCTACATGATGTGACATGGAATGTTACTGTACTCCAAAGAGTACACCTTTCCAATCTTTTATTGTGATATGTTTCTCAGGTGTTATTGAATAGATATAAAACTATATTTATATATATTTTTGTTTACATTATTGTTTTTGCAGGGCCAGTACATTGCACTAGAGAAGAAGTACTGTAAAGCAAAGAAGCTGCTAAGAGAGTTCCAGCAGAGAGAGCAAGATTTGTTGCACCGTGAAGAATTCTATCTTCAGCTACTTCAAGAGAAAGACACAGAGTATAATGCTCTAGTGAAAACGCTTAAGGACAGGGTAAGTTGTTGTTCTGAATTTTATAGCACATTGCGTAGTTCATAACATTGACTAGGTTCTCACATCTTAAAACCTTACAAACTGTGTAGTAGTATCAGATATTTGTTTACTTTACTGTGCCAAACACGTTTCTGCTTCAAGCTGGGCCATTCTTTGTCATATACATCTACATAAACATTCCATATTTCTTTCAGTTCATTGTGTGGGCATAAAATATTATGAAGTAGTTCATTTTGCAAGAAAGTAAAATTTTAACATATTGAAGAAGAGGGTATTCTAAATAATATTTAATAATTCATACCACACATTTAAGAAAGTAATCACTGTTTTTTCTGAGTTTCATATGAAATTCATAAATACAGAATGCAGCATTACTGATTATTAAAGCTTGTGGTACACATAGTAATCGCTGGGTTTTAAAGGGTTAAGACAAATGTCTGCCTTGGAATATCCTTATTTAATATTCCTTCACATTTTCGTAACACATTTAAATTTATGTCTCAGTTCCTGCAACTCTTTGGGGTTATTTATCAATTTGGGTGCTCTGAAAAGGGGCACACACATTATGTTTGAACTTTACAATTGAGAATGGACTGACGCAGTAGTAGTGATCATTATTTCTGATCAGTTTTTTATAGTCTAATCAGTTCTCTAGGCTGTTTTCACACCCTGTGGCTGACTAATATAAACACTAATGAAAGTAAAATTGAATCTGTTTTTATTTTTCAGGTGATTCAACTGGAGCAGGAACTACTGGAGACACAGCGCAAGGCTGGATTCCCTGTAGTGCTCCCATATGACAGCTCAAGCCTGCGTCAGTTGACACCTCAGCTCTCCCGCAGACAGCAGGCTCCTCCTGTGAAACCCCTTCTCCAGCAGCTTGAGGCGGAACTCTCCGACACTGAGATATCTGACATCAGTCCAGACGACGGTGATAAGACTGCTACAGTAGAACGGAAGGTTAGTCACTTGGCAATTGATTCATTGATTGAGTGGTAATTCAGCTTAGTTTTAGTGGGAGGATAATATTGAAGTGGGTCATAGAAAAATAGAGTTGGAAGGTGTGGACAGGATTCATCTGGCTAAGATTAAGGACCAGTGGCAGGCTTTCATTATCATGGATGAACCTCTAGGTTGTATAAATGATGGATCATTTCTTGACTAACTGAGTGTCTACCAGGTCCTCGAGAAGGACTGCTCAGTGGAGTTAGTTTGCTTGTCAACAGAAAATAGCTAATAGCAGGTAAATACTGAAATAATAGTAGCAATAATGACAACAAAAACAACATAACATAGTTATTGAACATCAGTATGTTGGCGTGCCTCCATACCAGACTTTATTGCTTTAGTTGCCATGAAACGTCTGCAGTAACCAGTACATTATAAATTAAAATAAAGAAGTTGGCACTGGGGTATTGAATTCAAGTATACAGAATTGAAGAAATTTATATTGAAAATGTTTGTGTGGTGTTTTCTTTCAACAGGTCGCATATTGGCTTGTGTTTTAGTTTAGTTCAATTTATAGTGACAGTGTTATAAACTGGTTGGTGGGTGCACTTTTAGATGGGGTTGGTTACGGATGATCTTACTGCCCAGATGCCAGTGAAGGAAGAGCTGGATCGTGCAGTTCCACCCCACGAGTTGTTAGATGTATCAGCCTCCAAGGCAAAGGCAGAGCTAGCGACACGTGGAGGCCTTGCAGGCAGACAGCTCCCTACAAGCAAGAAGGGCTCTGGAGGACTTAGCTCAAGTAGTTCTGTAAGCCTTCCCATTTTCTTTCTATTACAGAAGGTTATGTTTTTTATGTTATTGAAACTATTTTATGCCAACACAAATTAAGTTACTAAGTAAGAGTTTTCATACTAATCTTTGAAGGAAATTTCATATGGTTAATTTGGCAAAACCTTTTTCTTCTTGGTATTAAGTTTAATGACCTGCCACTCATAGACATCTGAACTATACATGCATTGACTGTTCACAGTATACATGATTCTGTAAGGTCTGGCCATTTTCTTCTGGGACAAGTAAATTTTTACAGCTGATAAGTATATACAATTGTTTTGCTTCTTGCACAGTGTAACTTAAGTAGCCCATTTTTCAGAATAATTTTTTATCTAAATTTTATAGTGTTAACACAAAATATTGTGTTACTATGCATCTTGTATGTATGATTTTTAACCAAATATTTCTTGTTGCCATACATATTACAGTTGTCACCATTGTTTCCCCTGTGTGAAATAACAATTTTATACAAACCATGAACAGTTAAGAACATTAATTTTAATGACTTTACTTTGGTTGTGTCTTACTTTATTTTAATTGTTTTCTTGATGTGATAATATTGACTTTTTGATTTAAAGTGTAACTCTTACTTGAGGCAGGGCTGAAAAATAATGCAAAGCCAAACAAGTAACATTATTATGATGTGGATGCAGAGCTTAGTTAAGGTTTCTGATTTGCTAGGACTATGGATTGGATGAGAGCTGTGATAATTCTGGTGATGAAGAAGACCAGGATAGGCGACATCTGTATATTGAATATGTGGGGCATGAGGAATCAAACGCTGAACCTCGGACATCAGCTCTTAATGCTCAGAACCAACAGCAGCAGCATCATCAGCCTGCCAGTCGTCCCACATCATTGTCCCCCTCTTCATCTCTGTACAATAATGTTTCGGCCGTGTCATCCAGCTCTAGCACATCTCACGTCCACAGTCTTGTGTCCCAGTTCTCATCCAGCCAACAGCAGCAGCATTACATTACCTCTTCTCAGCACCTGACCACACAACAGACAGTTTCAAAAATTCAGCATCAACAACACCACATGCACTTCCAGCCAGTGACCTCACCGTCTTCTTTACATTCCCCTTCCAGTTCAGCAGTTCTACCTCACACAACTTCAACTGCCCTCTATAGTCACGTCACTCATATGCCAACATCTCAACCATTACACCACTATCACCCCCGTCAACAAACTACATCATCTCATCCCCATGGTATCGCTCAGTCACACCATGCAGTGACAGGGGTTATGTCCCAACATCAACCTAGCCCTGACCCCTGGATTGGTCGAAACAAGGGGCCCACACCCACATATCCAATTGGACCACCTCGAGGACTTGCGGGACCCCCGGCATCTTTGGCGGAGCAACTGAAACAGGTGCTTGCAGAAAGAGAACGTAGGATATCGGGAGGAGATCAGACCTCGTCCAGAGAGTGCTCAGGTGACTTCACTGAGATTAATAAGGGAGTGTCTCAGAGTCTGGCAGAAGAAATACGACAGGCGGTGAATGAAGCTAATGCCAGAGGTAAGCTGCATTGCATTCAACATAATAGTTGAAGTTGTACAAAGTTTGGGAAGATGCACTCTGATGCTAATTGTATGTTTATGATTTCAGTTAGAATTATAGTTGTGTTTGTGCATCTCTAATCTCTTTAGAATCTTGTGGAATCATGATTCTTTCACCCCTTTTATGGGTATTTACTATTTTACTACCCATATTGCAGGTCCATTTATGTACTTCCTTTGCGGTCACTGATTTTAGTCTAACAAACTTATCACAATATTCATTCATAAGTTCATTGAAGTTGATTGCTGTTTTTATAAATTTTATTTTGTCAGATATTTACGCTGTGGCTATGCCATACGGCTGAAATAAAACATTCTTACTCCTTATAACTAAAACAAGCAAGTAACCAACCCTGAACCAATCAAGACAAATTTATAGACTTTATATTTTAGGGCATTCTGAAATTTTGTTTGTTCCTGCAAGTGAAATGGCAGTGCTGATTGGTTAGTGTGTCTGTATTCTTGTAAGGTATTTCCAAGAGTAAGGCTTTAGAATCATGTTAATGTTTTCCATACACCTGTTATTCTTCTGAAGCGTGGATTGTATATCTTAACTACAGTTTGAATACAAGGTTTTTTGATTTGAACTAACTCCTTTTGTTGAAGACCTTCAAAAAATAAGTACTGAAACTGCATTATTTGGTTTACTGTCCTCTTGTATTCCATTTGAATCAGAAGAATAACCAAATTGAATTGAAATGTTTGAGACAAGGTTGTGCATGTAACCAGAACGAGAATTTGCACTATGTAGTTTAAACTTCTAGCACTCACTGAAGTCATATCAGCTCAGTTTATGTTCACGTGCAATTTCAGAACTGAACAGTTTTTGTTAATTTTCCACATTATCTCGAATATTTTACCATGTGTTTTAATTAGTATAGTTTGTTCCTTTCTTTCGCCAGATCTGGCAGCGTCAGTAGGTAAAGGCCAAGTGGACCATTAATTTATGTATCATGTCATTGAAGTGCATTCACTCTTTTATTCTCAACATATGTGGAAGTGAGCAAACACCAGACCAATGAAACATGTCGTGTATTTATTCAAGAGGAGACTGAATAAAATCCAATTATCCGATCTTCAGTCAGATACTTGTTAGAATTGCAGCAGACGTGGGAGAAAGATGTCATGATTGTAATTGTTTTGTGTTGCAGTGAAGAAAGTGTCAATAAGCTCAGCTTTATCTCCATCCAACACACAGACGCCATGGCAACCACAGAGCTCTCTTTTGCAAGAAATGGCTCCTCCTTCACCTTCCTCAATCTCATCCTCGGGCAGTGTCTCTCCGGGAGTACCCACAGCCGATCCGAGCCCCAGCAAACCTGTCGCTATAGGTTAGTTGCTGTTTTAGTGTAACTAGTTCTAGAAAACTTTAAAACGTAAAGAGAGTTTTCAATAAAATTTATGTTTGAATCAAACATTTATGCTAGAAGAACTTCATATAAAATTGTCAAGAATATTATTCAGGTTTGTGTGAGCCACCGCATCACTTATTACTGCAGCAGTGTTAAAGTTAATGATGTTAATTTTAAACATGTTCTGTTGTGAAACAAGATTCAGATGTATGGGCACCTCCACACCCTCAGGATCTCAATAGTTCATACTCGGCAGAGAAGAAGTCTTCACACTTCTGGCAGAGTGCCCCAGTCACAGACTGGTCAAAAGAACAGGTATTTTCAAGTTTTTTATTGCTTTATTCTTGTGATGGTCAGGCTTCAGATAAACATTTCCAGCTTTGTTTATCCTTCCACTGTATCAGGTCCATTCCTTCTGTCTGTCTTTGCTCTCCTTGCTGCCTCCATAATCAGGGAAACATTAGTAAACTTCTTCCAGACTAAACAGCGCTACAACCCAGAAGACAGTCATCTTTATCGAAGTCTTTGAAATTTTTGCAATTTATCAAGCATTGCTCTTCTCCTTACTTCTTGTCTGTCTGTCTGTCTGTAGTGCTTTTCACAGTTGTATTCTTAACAACTTCAGTTTGGTTGCCTGGATTTTATTTACTTTTTTGGTAAGTGTCCTTGTCTGTACAACGTGTCAGTCTTCTTTTGAATCGCCCTTGTATATTGCTCTTTTTGCAATTTATTGTAACATTTTTCTTCAAAATTAAATTTTTAACCTGTTAATATTCTTAACACATATTACTGTCTCTCTTAACTTTTCAGCATAATGTTTTTAATAGTTTACATAATTAAATCATTTCATACACCTCAAAACAGTACCAGAGCCAGGCACCTTTTCTGTAATTCGTACATCCTTATTCCCTTTCTTATATGTGTGGACAATAATTTCTTTTTTCCGTTCACAGGTGATTCAATTTTTTTGCAAATATTTCTGATTAATGTATACAGTTATTGCAGTTGCGTAATATTGTTTCTGATATAACATTGGAGTGAATGGTTTGATTGTCATTGAATTGCATATGGGAAGTTCTTCCAGGTGTTCATACCAGAATAAAATCAGTTCATTCTACTGAAAATGGTAAGTTTATAAATTGAGGCTATGTAAATGTGCAGGTACTCTCTAACTAAACACACAAGAATTGTGTGTTTATCAGACATTGAAAAAAGGAAGTACAAATGTATTGCCATATTTTTTGTTGCTGAAAAACACTAATTCCGTATCATATTTGAGGTGGTAAGCCAACTGTGCCCAACGATTGAAGTGATCCTGTTGAATGTAACAATTTGTGCACGCAGGTTTGTCAGTGGCTGTTGGCTTTAGGGCTGGAGCAACACATCCCAAAATTCCTAGAGCAGCAGGTGGGAGGCTCAGCTTTGTTACAGCTTGAGTCACGGGACTTTAAACAGCTGGGTGTAAATGGCGATGACAAGAACAGGCTGAAACGCAAGCTTAAGGAGCTGAAGGTTCAGGTGGAGAAGGAGAAACGCCAGCAGGAGAAGGAGAGAAAAGAAAAGGAGAGACTGCAGAAGAAGGCAGAGAAGTTGGCTGAGAAAGCTAGCAAGCGCAAGTAACGTGGTTCTCTCCCAGTCCTTCCTTGCTCCCATCCCCTTCCAGGCAGTTATTGGACTGTGGATGAGTCCTCAGTTTCACTTATTGAGAGTTTGATGTCATCTGTATGTCCTGTGCTATAATATAGATTTGATACCAGTTATTTCATCTTATTTGATGAAATATCTTCATAAAATAACTTGGTTTGTATGTAGAAAGGAGATGAAGGATGGAAGTGAATAAATGTGTCAATTTACTTTATGAGGCCACAAGACATAGAAACTGAGTTATGGATGTTGCTACAGATAAAGAGAAAGATATGTTTTCAGTGTTAATTTAATCTGCTAATGATGGTAATTATAATTTAAAAAGGAACTAATTCAAAATTTTATTTTTGTGACTTTCATTTTGCCTCTTCTTCTTCTGTTTCTTGACCGTTACTTCGGTCTTGCAGTGCCTAATATTTTCTTCCATTCTTCTCTATTTTCCCATCCTTCCGGAGGTAGTTTCCACTCTATCATGATTCTTATAATTATGTCGTTCCATCCTAGTCTCAGTCTCCCTCTCTTCCTTCTCTCTTTTGGTTGCCATTTCATAGTCCTTTTTGGTAACCTATCCTCCTCCATCCTTTGCACGTGTCCATACCAAATCAGTTGTCTTTTCTCTATCTTCTCAATTATATCTCAATCCACCCTCATGATTTCTCTAATCCTTTCGTTCCTCACTCTCTCTCTTCTGGAAATTCCAGCCGCTCTTCTTAGGAAATCCATTTCCATCATTTTTCCTGTCATAGTAAATATTCTGCACCTGTTTATTTTTAGTTGAAGTTCACCATTTGTCTTCTTGTCCATTCCACATTCCAGATCCTGTAAAAATGTGTGTGAAAGAGAAGTTAATTGTTAGAAAAATCAATGTGTGGTGATAGATGATGGTATATGTTGATTAGCAGACTGATTCAGGCTTTGCTCAATACAGAATCCATTAACAGTAGCATTTGCGACTTCTAGTTCACATTCTCATTAACATAAAAGCTGAGACTTGTCTCTCAAGTTGCAGAAAAAGGTTAATTCTCTTTATTATATAAACAAATGGAATGTCTGGATCTGTGTGTGTAAATGATGCATTTGTGATTAGCAAGCTGTAGCGTGTGAATGTACGAGATGGAATTGGTCTTCTGCGTAAATAATTATTATAAGAAATTTGACGTCTTTGTGAATGCTGATAGCAGTTGTTATATTTGCCTTGGTGCAGAACTGGTCTACACAAACTGTTTGTAGTTTGTCTTCACTGCACTGGGAGAAATAAAGGCATTGTTATGTCATGAATAATGGATATTAGTGCCAAATGGCAGCTATTTGGAGTTGTAATTTATATTGTAAATATCTCAAATGGTATTTAATTATTATTCATACTGATTAAGTATTAACGGTACTAAGAGACTTAATGTATTTTGTTCCTTTTTGTTTTTCTTTCCCATGGCAGCAAAAACATTGTATCTAGTTACTTTTTAGAAGATTTTCAATAATACTGTTGAGTCACATTTCTGTGACAAATAAACCATTAGATCCTGTGTTTCTACCCAAATTTATAAGCAAGTTCTGCTTTTTTTATTAATTGAATAGATTCAGTAACAAAAGTATTATTGAAAACAATAAGTAATTCATGGAACATGTGTTTAAATAAATAAACATATGTACATTGTAATATCATAGGGACTGAAGTTGCAGATGTTGGTATTAGTACACTTTGTCATTCTTTACCCTCACCCCATTTCAGAATTGTTTTTGAAGATAGTAGGCAGCAAAAGAGAATCTAGCATCCTGTTGTGCAAGTGTCTGAGGTGATACGTTTATGCTGATTTAGTTACGTAAGGCGTGATTCGGTAATAGCTCCAGCCAGTCAGATTTAGCATCGGGTCGTGTTGGTTGTTGGCATTTGAATTACATCATTCATATCAACTGATTCTTTTACCATATTTTGTTTGTATTGGTCCAAGCAATAATTCTAGAACATCAAGATATTTGTCGCATTAGAATTACAACTTTACTTTCATGAGAAATTTATTCAGAGTCCCCTTTCTTTTAGATACTGGAGTTGTAATATGTTTGCTATAATTACTTTGTTGTAGTTTGGTTAAACATGAGTAAGAAGGAAACTTCATTTTATAGCTCTAGTCATGTGGGAGTTCGGAATTTATGCAGCTGAGCTATCGAATATTTTCTAAAGTATTGTATTATGTGAGTCAGCCAAGTTCGTCATGTTATTGAATTTATACAGCTAAATTACAGTTGTTCTATAAGCCAGTCGAAGTGATAACAGCATTGTCCTAGATCTTTTCCACAATATAAGTAAATCTAAAGGATGGTGTATTCTTTAATAATAGTAATCAGTCTCAAACGTATGAAGTAATTTACACCACCTGGTTGAGGATTATTGGAACATGGTAATGAAGTACACACAATTGGCATTTACACTGAATACAATGATACTGCCTTTACTTCTTCTTCTTCTTTAGCACTACAGCCCTTTCAGTGTAGGCTTGGCTTCTCTTGCGATCGATGCCCAGTCTTCCCTATTCTGTGCTTTTCTTTTCTAGCCTCTTACGCCCATCTGTTTAAGATCGGACTCCACGTCTTCAATCCACCGGAGTTTCGGTCTTCCTTTCTTTAATTTGCCAGGAGGTTTACTATTGATGATCATCTTACATCCTCTATCGTCACTCATTCGGAGTATATGTCCAAGCCATTCTGTCCTTGCCTTTATTACAGCTACAATATCTGAGCTGATGAACAGCTTCTCCAGCTCGATATTCATTCTAAATCTCCATAGGCCATTGTCACATGTTGGACCAAAAATCTGCCTTAAAATTTTCCTTTGCCAGGTCATAAGCATTCTTTCAGCTAGAGATGTTAAAGTCCAGCATTCAGATCCGTACAATACTAAAGGTCGTATTATAGTAGTGTACAACCGCACTCTAAGGTTTTGGTGGAATACTGCCTTTACAAGCTGCATTAAATCCATATAACAAATAAATATGCTATCTTCACACGTTATTTCTCTTTTTATGTTTGCTGTCAGTTTAAAACCCTTACTAGTACAGTCGCTGAGTATCTTTGTGGAAACCAGTAATGTTACTTGATGTTATTGAAGTATAATTGTTTCTCCTAATTCTGATGGCATTAGGTAAAGATATTCATTTTCTTCCGTATTCATTTTGCAAACTAATAAGTCGTATGAAAATAATTACTGTAACTGTTCACTTAGATGATTCACAGTTGTAATTGAGGTGAATATTAGTGTTGACAACAATTTCGCACTTTCACTGCCATTTTCCTGAACTAATTGGTAATGAAATGTATACTTACTGTGATAGTATCATGTTAGGTAACGGTAGAGGTGCTTTGTTTTACTCCTGTTTTTGCTGACGGTAGATCTCATGTTTGCATCGATCATATGTTACAAACAGTCAAAGAAAAACAGGATTGACAAATTCATTGTCACTTCCACAGATACTCTATATTATTTAAAATGCATTGTTCTGTTCATTACTGGGTATGAGTTGTGAGGTTAATATCCAGTTCCAGGGAGGGGTGACTACTTCCATTCTGGTCATGGGACCCAGCTAGCTTCCTATCCAGTGAAAGCTGAGGGCTCCTTCCCCAGTGTTACGCAACTTGAGTGTGAAGCTGATCATTATCTCGAAGTAGTGATAAGATTAATAATACATGGAGCTTTCTCTCCATGCCCACTCTGCACCACCTTTACATAATTCATAAGAATGGGGACAACTTTAGTTTACCATTTTGCTTATATTGAGCAAATTAATTAATTGTATCTGACTGCCTGCTTTATATTTTCATGTGCTTCATTCTGTTTATAAGCATATTGGAAATATGACATTTCCTTTGTCCCTGGTACAAAATCATGATTTAATATAAGCCTTACAAGAAAATAGTATGGAATTATATTCAGACTAATACAACAAACTTGGTCTAACATTTCTAGTTTTCTCCTATGCATAGCACATAACAAGTAATGCCATTCCAATACTCAATATCTGTTAACATTTAACTCTGATAATATGATATTTAAAGCACTTGTATTACTTAGTGTGTACATAAATTATGTACATGAAATCTGGTATGGTTTCCTTTTTGTGGTTGCATCGTATCAAAACTTGGTACTTATGGTCCCATTGAGAGAAATTTTGAATTCAGTGCAGTCTTACATCCATATAGAAGAATTGTCTACCCTCCTTAACGATTGTTCAGAAACATGGAATCCAGAATTGTATTTTTTGGTGTTCTTTTGGTACGTGTGTTCTATATGAAAGATAAGGTGTGGCAGTATAATAATGTCTGTCAGATTTTTTTATTGGCATCTGTAAAATATGTTTAATTGTCACTCCCCTAGAACTCCTAATTTTTTTTGGAGCGTATGATAAAAATGTTGACATCATCTTTAAATATAAAGCTTAGGATCTTGCACTAATTAAATAAAGACAGATTCATTATTTCCACTAATCATACATTTTCTTGTTTAGTTTTCCCATAATCTGCACACACCGTTAAATTGAGTATGTCATAGTAATACAAGTTTAATGACAAGTGTAAATGTCTGAGGCAGATTTCTGCTAACCTACAAGTAATGCCACTTTTAGTTGCTAGATCTAATGTTAATGAGTTTAACCTCGGTGTTTGTGGCTGATTCCATACCTTAAACACGAAACTAGTCTTTTGGCAGCTCTTTTTGATAATTGGCACAATTTCGCTTTTTTCTTTGTGTGCCGTATTTGTTACATTTTAAACTTGGAAGCATATGATTTAAAAATTTTGTAGCTATATTAACAAATTTTGTGTTAATGTTTCATGTGTCACTCGTATATACCAATTAATTAATAAAAAAGTTAAGGTTGCTGCATCTAGGATTTTAAATATGTGACTTCCTACAGGACGCTGTGGTCCATTCTGATGAAGTAATTTATTAGAAACAAGCACTACAGTCCTTGTGAGCACACTTATTTTGAACAAAGATCATGATTTGTGCATTAAAAGATATTTGTGATAATAAGTTGATAAAGCAGTACCCTGCCGCTATCTGCATGTCAGAAATGATTAGCACAATTTGGGTCTTGGCATAACAACATTTTGATACATGTACATTGATGAAAATGAGGTGATTGTTTATGCTCAAGTAGTATGATACATAAGTAATATTACACATCTAGAAACTGTTTTTAAAAATACTTTGTCCATGTGAAAATTTTCATTGGCTGTCTGAGGTGGTTTAGGGCAGCACTAACCCATCATACAATCAAGATTTGTATCTCAAAATGTAATTGTTCCATCCTTTAAATTGTTTAAATAAATATTAAATTTCATTTTAAGTATAGACTTTTGTAGATTCGCAGTTCATCCACGTTCACACAGATGAAAGCGAAATCCACAATAAGTCAACAGTGTTTTTGTATTGCACAAAAAGTGAGGTCACATGTTTGAATGAATAAGAATTTGTAAGAAAAATTCATTTTTTAAATAATAGTAAATATTGGGATGGATATTGGGGCATGTAATCTTTGTGTTGCATCAGACACTACATTTTGGGGAATTGTTCTACCGCATTGCAGGATTGTTTCGTGCCTAGTGATATAACAGATGATTAGCATTAGTCAAGTGGAGAATGGAGAATTGTGTTTTAATCTCTTTATCTTTGCAGAAAGTAAACCACTTCAGTTTCATCTGTAATTAAATTCATCTTGACAAATTAGTGTGCCCGCTACATTGATGGGGTATCGTAGATACATGGGCATATTATGATGGTATCTGTAGTCTTTGCGTACTATACGAAGTTAGGCTTTAAATACATCTGCCATCAGTTTTATACAAGGTAAAAACACCCAGAGAAATTTTGGTTTCTTTGAGGTATGTTTAAAGGAAATTTAGCATTGGAATTATTTACTGTAAAATTCCTCAGTCCCTTATGTACTGATTTAAAAAAACATAAAAACTTATGTTTGTGCATGACATGATGACTGCTAGAATATTTTTAATAGAGGGGATGACCAGTAAATTGACGGAGATAAACTATATGTATTTATATTGTAATATACAGTTAATATTTATTGTGTAAACCATCGATTTGATTTAGAAGTGCGTGCATGTATACCATCTCTAGAAGACTGTATGTTATTGTATTGCAAGGTGGTAGGAAATTTCCATGATAACATCTCCAGTTTTTTCCAATTTCTTATGCTGTTACTGCCCTTACGAAATATGACACGTGACAAAAGATGAAACAGTCATTTGTGTTACTAAACTTTATTGAAGACTCGGTACTGATTACCAGCTCAATATTAATGAAGTTGGATTTTGGTAATAATTTGGAACCTGTAAGATTTGAGGATTTCACAGCGGTGATTATGAAGATTCCTGTCTTCTGGGTTGTTGCGCTGTGTAGTCTGGTCGATGTTTACCAATGTTTCTGAGGTCATACTGCCTCTGTCATCAGGGCGATTCATCTACCAGACTACACAGCGCAACAACCCAGAAGACAGAAATCTTCAACTTGGAACCTATTACTGTTGAATTATGACTTATCACTTGTGGCAGTCCTGAATAAAATGTTTTGTAATATAATTGTCAGTTGTCAACAGCCATATTGGAGTGCTGTTTAATTAGGAAATGAAGTTGTTAAGGGAAGCCAGTAACCAAGGAAGTTAAACATGTTTAACACAGGTACAATCTTACTGATCATGCATTAACTGAATTTAATGCAGATTAAAGCTAAAATTGGTGCAGTTGCACTTGAAACATTGTACTTATCAAGGTCACATTTAATTCTGAATACTTAGGTAAATGCAAGATAATTAATAGTAATACTTAAAATTGTGGCAGACATTTCATGTGTGATTGCTGTGATGAATATTTGTAATTATAATGTGAGAACACTATTCGTACATCACGGTTCACGTGGCATGCAGAAATGTTTCCGGCTGTAGTTTGCAGTTTAATTATATTTTATAATGAAACATACCATCGCAGTTTTAAAAGAAGTAATAATGTGTACATTTTTGGTGGATGTGTGGCTAGTTTTTACAATGCTTAATTTTGTTAAAAGAAGTCAAATTTCCTTTCTCTTTTTTGATTGTATAGTTTAAAAATTCACAATTTTTGGCATAGAATGTAACATTCAGTGAAAATAAAAGTAATAAGTACAGTTGGTAGAGTTGTAATTTTAGACGGTTATTCCCAAGTTTATGAATCTAAAAATATTTTAATATTTAAACTAAATCTTTGATTATTTTGTTAAATGTTGCATTTCTTTTACAGTTGCATGTTAACGTAACATAACGCAGTTCTCAAAATTGTCGGTCCTATCTCACAGTTTTCTAAGCAGCCTTGTAATTTTCCAAGGTCTCGGTGGTGATAATTTCTCTATACCCTACAAATATCTGCGGTGTTAAGTGTCTGCAGTGAAGTTTCAGATGCATCGAATGATTTTAAGTCAACGAGGTTAAACCCCCTGACATTTCAGTCCATCTTTGAGACAGTGTCCAAAACATTGGGTCATAACTCCGTATTCTTCAATGGCCACATCTTCTTACAGTTGAACTTTTATTCCCAGGATGAGGTGATCGGTACGTCGGTTGTCCATAGATTTAGATTCGTTCATCATGGCTGTCAACCGTATTTGCACCAAATCATTTTTCTGTCTCTGTTTTAGACAGTTTCGTTGTGTGTGTATTAAAAAAACAATAGTTTTGGTAAAATTGTTCTCGTGACTGATTTATATAAAATACTTTTCTATGCTAGGTAAATTTCTGCCTCTTATGGATTCTGCTATAAACAGATTTTGGACAAAACTAAATAGTTGCAAAATGTGTGTCATCATATTTGCCTGAGGGGAAGAGATCATTTAGGAGACCTAAGCATAGATGGAAGGGTAATATTAAAATGGGTCTTAAAGAAGTAGACTGCAGTCAGCTACCTCAGGATAGGGTCTAATGACAAAGACATTAATGGACTTTGGGATTCCAAAAACGGTGGGGAATTTCTTGGTCAGCCGAGTAAGTATTAAGTAACTTGTCAAGAAGAACTTTTCTGCGTGAAACAAAAAGTGCATTCTAGTAGATATATGCTGTTGTTAACTTTAACTTAGTTTGATATAGAATGTTATTGAGACGTAATGTCATCATGTGTTTTGAGTATCCATGGTGACAGATAATTGGAAAATGAACATTAAATGGTAAACAGTATCGGAAGATGTTAACGTTTTAATAACGCACGACAGTTTGAGGTCATTTGCGTCACATTGAAGTAACAAACATCAGAAGTATGATGAAATGTCATAAAGTTGTTGGCACATGAGCTGTTTGTATTTGGGACTAAAGAGATATATCTCTGTGGGGGGTTAAAGATGAGAAGCTGAATTTTGTATGCATCACAAATAAAACCAGTTAAGTGATAAGAACTGACGTGAATTATTTATTGGCTGGTAACATGACTTGTCATTTATCATCATCATCATCACTGGCTCTACAGTCCTGTGTGGGCTCTAGCCTTCTTCAAAAGCTTCTTCCATTCTTCCTCCCTCACAGACAATCTGCCAGTCCCCGTACCCGCTGATGTGGGTTCGTTTTTAGGCGTTCTTTGCCCAAGGATGATAAAATGACTCGTAGAAGCCTGTCCTTCACTGCGGCAACTCGTTTGTGTCATCTCCCAAGCATTATAATATTTGCGTAATATGAGTTTTGTTAGAATCTTCCAAAAGTGACACAGGGTGGACTGGTAAGTAGATACGAAAGTTTCGGAGAAATATGATAACTGCTCAGCCCTGAAGATGGAGATAGTATGTTTCTCCGAAATTCTGGTGTCTATTAACAGGTCCATGCAGTATTACTATTCAGAAGACTAACACGGACGTCCATCGCATCTCAGTTCTATTATCGATGGAGTTTATTGAAGGTCCGGGAAAATTAGGTGTAGGATTACGTAAAATCCAACAGCCACTTCATCCTGGTCTTGAGGAGTAAATACACGTTACTTAGTTAATTGCTTAAACGTTATCTAAACCTATTGTATTATTTTATGTCATCAAGCATAGAAGAATGTACAAAGAAAACATGTTTTGTTTGGAAATTTAAGTTTTGCAAACCTCGTAATTTTCTTTCTTCTGTTCAATTATGAATAACAACGAATCCAAATTGCCTCTTTATTTGAATGTGCGGGATCGCCCTGTCGTAAAATTAATATCGAACTGTGCGCCCTACAAAACAGTTAAGTAACAGTGTGTTAGTAGTGTCGAAAGGCAATTTTAAGGCAACGTGGTAACTGTGCTTTAAGAGCGCACATAAGACAATGAATCTTGTAGAAACTGTGAGGACCTGAATGGATGAGACCATTCGGTGACCTAGGAAAAGATGGGGCGATAATATTAAAAGGTATATTACACATGGTTTGAGGGTGTGGACTGAATTTATGTAGCTCACATAAATATCTAGTGGCAGGCTTTTATGAACATGGTAATGAACATTCATGTTCCGTGAAAGGTTGAGAATTTCATGACCAGCTAAGAAGGACTCTGCCCCACAGAGTAAGTTGTATGTATTTTGTACAGTGCAAATGTCTTCGTATTTTCATCGTATTTTATCTTATCGATTATTTGATACTATTAAAATATCTCGAGAATTGGCGTGTATCGTTGCTGTTGATAGTAATAGACGATGAGCGAAATTTTCGCTCACTGTTGTCGGCACCGTTCTGTCGGCGAGATTCCTTTCGCTGTGTTGTAAGAAATGGCTCCTTCCGACATTCACACACTAAGGTAAGCGTTCGCACGTACGCCTACATAGGTATACGAGGTGCGATCGGAAAGTTTCAAGACTGCGCCTATATTTTAAAAAAATTAATAAATAAACCGTACACTTATCTCAGGTATTAAATTCATCCATCACCCTCGAAGTAGTTCCCCTGGGAGTGAACACAACGATCCCAGCGCCGCTGCCAGGCCTGGAAGCATCCCTGGAAATCTTTCTTTGTCAGCCTGTCAAGCACCATCTGCGATTCTGCCTGAATCTCCTTCCCTTTAGCTGAATTTTCATCTTTGGGAAGAGGAAGAAGTCACACGGAGCTTAGAAAGGAAGTTGGGGTCGGTTCTTGCAAGATCTTTGAGCTCCTAACAAACGAGAAGTCGATTCTGCTTCTGGCCCTCAGACAGGATGCGTCGCATGTGGAGTTCTTCCTTTAGAATCAGCTGCCAGGTCCCATAGCCTATCCCAACAATGTCGCACAAGTCGTTGATGGTACGACGTCGATCTTCGTAACAGTTTCGGGCGTTGTGCTCGAAGATGGTCGTCAAGAACGCTCGTCATCATCGACAGAGGTTCGGCCAATTTTAAAACGTGAATGCCACACAAACGTTTGTGCACGACCCATTGCGGACTCCCCAAATACTTGCTTTAGGATTTCATAGGTTTCCGTAGCCATTTTGGCGAGTCTTTGGCAAAATTTGATGCACACGCCATTCCGAAATCGCAGGAGGGTCGGTGTAATGCACTTCCAAAACGCCCGTAACTAAGAAACAAATGCTAATTCGATGATGCCGGCTGGCTCACTGATTCACTATGAATGTAGGCCGCACCCCATAGCGGCAGAAGCTCGTACTACATCCGGTTCGCCCTCTATTGACAGAGTCTGGAAACTTTCCGATCGCACCTCTTATTACACAGGTCTATTATGGTCCTCCAAGACCGATTCGCTGTGTTTCATAGACGTCTGTAAACTTCTACCAGACAAATCGAGAAAATAACCGGAATTTGCTTCGCTTATTTGGGGCACCATGCCGTTTAATCGGGACAGTAGGTGCAAGATGGCGTGATCGTTGATTCACTCAGTAACGAACACGTGCGTATTCAGACAATGTAGTGATTCTGCTGCTTGCGAGCAATACGCAGCAAGACCATTCAGAACTGCTTTGCTCGCTGTGGTTTTAAGCATTCAGGCTTGGGGATGCCAGATACGACCGACAGTGAAAATGACGCCACTTTGGAAGTGCAACACGTCAGAAAATACCAAGAGTTTGCATGCATCGTCAATAGTCTTCAATGTTACAATGAAAACGAAGATTGTGAGGACGCAGCTGTTGAACAAATTGCAGTAAACACCAAAAGACATCAGAAGACCAGGAATGTGATGAGGACGACACACCTGAGCTTGAGCGATTGACTAACCAGGATGCCAGGATTATGACGCTACTTCATGCAGGAAGGCAATGAAGGCAGTCCTACATCTGCACTAGATACCTGCTCTGATTTGGTTCAGTTGCAGTCAATCAAGAGGTCACGGCAGGGTACACTCGATAAATTCCTCTAATATCATTAACTCTTAAGAACTACACACATGCGTGATCGATACATAGATTAAATTGAAATTGTTTTTAGCCTAAATACTTTTCTCTGATCTGTACCATTTATTACAGAATTCATTTACAGTATTTTTGTTCCTCAATAAATCATGCCAATAAATTTTTATGTTTTAAACCTTTTTAACTCTTTACGTGGAACTTCGCATAATTGGGGCAGCCGCTTAATTGGGCCGAAGTGTTCTAGTCCCGATGTATCCCAATTAACCGGAATTCATAACAAAGAAACGTGTAAAAAACGAAGCTCGCAAAGAAATATATGATCCATAGCGCAAAGCAGGATTAAAAGAGAAGATTTCTTCAGTAGCATTTGAGGTTTTCAAGGCGGTGAGTCTGAAGATGGCTGTCTTATAGTTTGTTGCGTAATGTAGTCTGGTAGAAGTTTACCTACTTTTCAGAGGTATTTTCTGCCTCCATCATCGGGGGTACTCATCGCCCTGATGATGGAGGTAACCATGTCGGCGAATTACAACCGGACTACACGGCCCAACAACCCAGAAGACAGCCATCTTCAAGTTTGTTAAGTCTTTTAGACAGATCTATTTCAACAATCTGATCTACAGTAAATGTTTTCCGGTGTCTATACTCATAAATTTTATTGCGTACAAACTGTTCACACTTGCTTGTAGTGAGTTACATGAAGGTGAACTTTAATGCAGTCTAATTATTCCACGTACTCAATATTAACGAGAATTACGATTATTACAATTTGTACTCTGAGGAATATTTGTTGTCCGATACGTAGCGAAATGAAATTCACCTACTATCCTCACTACACGCCTTGAAAGCGCTTCGGGGAGGAGAGATGGGATGGTTAGATGTTAGATCGCAGATGGTGCTTGACAGGCTGACAAAGAAAGATTTCCAGGGATGCTTCCAGGCTTGGCAGCGGCGCTGGGATCGTTGTGTTCACTCCCAGGGGAACTACTTCGAGGGTGATGGATGAATTTAATACCTGAGATAAATGTACGGGTTTTTATAGGCGCAGTCTGGAAACTTTCTGATCGCACCTCGTATATCATTAATATTTATAAATTTTGTTTGAAATATTTCTGATCTTCAAGAGCACGAATTACGCCGACGAGATAGGTCTGAATTTAAAATTGGTTGATTGTTTTGTGCCAATTTATTCCAGCGTCGTTTTCTCTGTTGCTTGTGCTTCAAAGATCTTTGTTTTATGTAATGTACCCACTCGACTTCACTGGATTTGAGCTCTGTAGCTGACCCATAATTCTTCCCTGTTGTTGGTAACACTTGTTGACTGCAGATTGCATAACGTGTAAGTAAGTGCTTATTTATGGATACATCCATATCTTTATATAATCGATGTGTCCTTTTTTTCGTATCTCAAAATACAGTTTTACACACGTTAATTACCGAAATGTATTTGTGATTTACTTATATATTGAGTGCAAGTCTTCTGTCAATTCATGTGTAATTGTGTTCAGTAAGTAAGTGATCACTTCTCATCTTATTTTAAGGTTCATAATACAATTATACGTGCAGCATTTTAATTATATTTGTATATTATTAGTCTTCCATGTCTAATTTAAATCAGACATGGAAGTGCACACATCCGAAAATTATTAATTTCTTATTCTATACTTAAATATGTGTTGACTAGTCAAAACTACAAATATAAACTTTAAGTTTTAGATAACATATAATAGCCTGAGATTTGGGAAAGGTACGAAGTTGATATTGCATGGAGTTTCAAGTGATGGGATTAGTTATCCGCACTTAACAATGAGATGTTATCTTCCAGTCTGTGTCTAGATTTCCAACCAACATGTTGTATGCATTTTTCGTTTCCCTCATGCATGCTGCATGCCCCGCTCATTGCATCCTCCTACATTTGATGGTATTAATATCTGATGAAGGTGAAGCTCGTGTGTATAATCCAATTCCTCTGCTTTCTTGGATATTTTAATGGCTTTTTCTAAGCCAAAGTTGAAAATCAATCATGCTCTTTGTACTAAATACATCAGTATATTTGTAATAACAATTAAATTCAATTAAGTCAAATTGATTACAAGGAGAAGAAAATATGAAAAACAAGGCAATTATTCATATTTATAATGAAACGAGGTCCCCAAATAATACGTTCCTCACCCCTGCATAAAAGTGAGAACGATCTGTTAAGCCTCGTTCACATTAGTCAAGTTGCTTCGATAAAGGTCGCTTGAATTTCAGAAGCAGCAAGAATTTAAGCTTATGTTCACATTTAGGTAAGTTAATTGGATGCCAGTATAACATAAAATGGCAGTGTTACCTAAGAAACTAATTGTTGCGTCATCTGTTTACTCGGCATTGTTGTGTTACATTACTGCCGTCAACAATCCGCTTTCGTTATTGCGGAAAGAACTGAGCTGTGAATCGCTTGTAGAAGAAGTGCGTCGTAGAGTAGATAATTTTGTGCTGTTAAAAACGTTTTAGAATATCACAAGTACTTACCTTATATAAAAATTATTAAGAAATCTGTGATACTGCCCTCCACTCTCTCCATTTTAGTTTTGATTAAATTGTTCATTGCCGGTGGACATCGTGGTCTCTTACAATTGAACAAAGTTTGAGGTTAGGGATTCCTATTTATTATTATTGTTCATCACATTTAATGTTTTCATTTGCATTTGTGAACCCGTGTAAGAGAATTAGGCATGTCTTCTTTTGACGTAAATACGTCTATACGGAAGGGTCATTCGGCAAAAACAGCGTTGCTTACGAAGATGTGTAAGATCCAGCGCCGAGTCACAGTTTTGTCACATTTATGGAGGAAACGTTTGGCTTAATGTTGACGTCAAATCCTCAATGTAGAACTACTAGATCAAAATCTTGTAAAGATATGGTGTTTGCACGAAATGTTGATACTCTTAAGTGCACAAATTTTATAACATATTTCAGCTACCACAGAGCCATCTTAAGCGTAACTAATTCAAGTTAAATAAGCAATGTCTTAATCAAACTATTTACTCAATTGTAAAGCATGTATAAAGGGAATATTTAGAATAAAGCCAATATATAAACTTCCTTTCATTGTGTTTATTGCCTAAATATAATTTAAATACAAAGACGTATTTACGTCAGATTCTCCGAACCGTGGTTCCACTGTCAATTTTTATTCTGTAGAGTCAATTATCAGCTTTATTGGAAAAAGGAGGTTACAGAAACTGGATTGGGAACAGGAATGTCCTCAATGCATCCAATTTGCCTGCAATTACGTATTAGTGGCCTCGGAAGATAGAGAATTCCATATAAATTCACCTGAGTATGTCAAACCACATTCAGTCACTAGCTGTAACTTGTATAAATCTTGCGCCACTCTTTTTCGTAAATTTGTTCATTTTCTGGCTGACACTGTTTTCATCATCTTAATTTTCCTTCCAGCACTATCTGCGCCGATTTCTTTATTCCCTTTCGTGTCTGGCATTTATGTAACGATAGTCCTCTTATCGCTTTCAACGTTCCCTTTTGCACATTTTAAACATTTGCAAATGAGGTCTTCATAATTTAAGTTATCACTCATTACGTAAACATTTACAATAAGAAATGTTTGAACAAAATAAATTGTAGCCTTGAAGTCTACTTCTCAGATATACCAACAGAAAGACAGCTGAGTTCCTACGTTTCAATAAGCTGGAGAGATACATAGTAATTCACATTTTTCAAATTGTTATTCAAATTAGTTAGAGCCATGTAAAACGTTGGACTGGTTGTTACTTTGCTTTCATCTTTGAAACAGTCCTTTCAGTAGATCTGGTACGTACTTAGAGCACAGCTCATATTAGTAAATTCCTTTAATTTTGGTTTTGTTTTGTTTAGAAGAGACTTGCATTCAAGCAAGCTGGCCCATGTGAACGAGGCTTTATATTTTTTTTTGTTCTGTTGGCTGTAGATATTACCACACCTCCACTGACTTGCTTCCGATAGCTGCATGTAAAATGATGGTTGAGTAGCCTGTGCTTCAGTTTATAACGCAAAGATTGTGTTATGACGTGGTAGTTGCTAGGAAGCTGCAGCCATAAGAAGTTTGCGCCAGCTGAACACGAGTGTTTAAAATGAGTCGTAAGATGAATGGGTGTACAGTAACCAATGGCTACAATTTAGAAAACGGTCCTTGTCTTCCATCGAAAAATGGTTTCGGTTGCAACAATGATCATTCTGCATCATGTAATTGCTACAAGCGCACCAGATACATGGACATTGATTGTCAGAGGTAAGCTGAAATGTCTGTTGCATGCCTCTGTAACTGTTTATGTCAACACGATTTGAATAGAATAATGGCTATATAAATTTAAATGTGTAAATTAAAAATTTAATAATTGCTAATTTCACATTATTACCCGTAATTGAAAGTATTTTTTTATTTAGTTAGAGCATAACAATCTTCTTTTTTAAATTTCAACAATGGCTGAAGGTACCTGACTCCACTCCTTGTAGCAAATTAATTCGTAAGGACTCCATTTGTTGACATTCTGCCACGAACAGAAAAAATCTACTTTTGTTCACTAAAAGGTTCTGTGTCCTCAGTCCTTACACAAGGTGTGCTGAGTGTAGTGCCCTTTATTGGAAGTAATTTTCATTTAAAAATAGAATTATTACTTGCAGTACCCCTAAAAATGGACATATTTGTTACAAGAAAATATGACAGTGGATAATTCCTTACAAGTAGGTGAACTTTCATAAAAATTTAGCTTCTCTACTCTAATTCTAGTGTGCCTCAAGTACCGAAAGGTTGAGAATCACACACCTGCGAATTGTTAACCTAGACGATTAGAAAGAGGTGATTACAGTAATCTAGATTGTTACGTCAGCGACATTAAACGCGCATAAGGGACTCACGTCCTTTGTGCTGTATGGGTGTGAAACTTGGCCTGCCATTAAGGGAAGAACACACTGAGGTGTCAGAGAACAGGGTGTTCGTATGATACGTGTTTTAGGTTTTTTTTTTCAGTACCTGTAACTTAGCAAAATTACAGTACCTGCCTGAAGGTCGTGTCTACGTTGTATAGTAATGTTTGTATAGAATTAAAAAAGATTAGTTAGAATCATTTGTGAGGACTTTCCGAAAAAGAATTTAAAAGTATTTTACATTAAAAATAAAATAAAATAAAAATAAAGTAAAAATAAAATAAAAATAAAATGTACTAAAAGGAGAGCCTCATACAGGAAATTGTTTAAGAAATTTAATATTCTTCCTCTAGCCATGGAAGAATTCAAACTAACTCAGATATCCACAATATAAGTACGAGATACAGATATAACCTTAATGTGCCAAACACGAAACTCAGCAAATTTTCCCTTACTATAAAAAGTCTGAATCATAATATAAAGAAGTTTGAGCCAGTATTAAAAGAGTATTTCCTATCTTACTCCTCCTGCTCCAAAGGAGAATTTACCTCAACCAAAAATTCTCAGCTATTATAAACACATGTAACCAACAGTAGCTATGCTTTCTTGCTTAATTATTTTCGCGGTAATTTTGTAGCTTACTGTAAATTGCTGTCATAACTAAGTAATTTATTTTTGTATTAGAAACAAGAATTGTATTTGTATTATGGCATGTTATACATCCTTGGCTTGGGGCTATGAAGGATCTATGGAATGTAAATTAATTCCATTCTGTTCTATTGACATCCCTTTACCCTGGCACTGATGATTTTGGTATTTTCTAAATATAAAGATGATAAAATTAAGGAGGATGTGATGATGGATGGACAGTGATTGCCAATGTCATTGTCACCTTCTTTCAGTGCGTCACGTGTTAAATATACAATTACAAAATTATAAATAAAATAATTTATTAACGAATTCTATCATTGGTTAATAACAATTAACTTCTAGTATTTTGAAACTTGTCGTATTTGACTATTTGGTTTCTATAATATTATGTAATTTCATTATAAAAACTGTGTGAAGACTACACGCTGAATGATCCCTGTGGATCTGTATATATAAAAAAAGAACGTAAACAGGCCATTGTTACTCTGTTCATGCGCATGGGCTTGAAGGCTGGATCGTTGTCAGCTGATGCTTGTCCAGACGAACAAAGATTCGTAAATGCGACAAACCCACAGCGTCGTTTTACTTTGCAATTGCAGCCAGAGAAAATATGCATCTACTACACGGAACACACCCAGTTTAATTACAACACTTGAAAGTTGTGTATCTCATATATTTAATCACACGTTATAGAATCTTATCTCGGTGGTGGAACGTTTTATGTTCCGCACATAGCTTCCACTAAAGATTGTAATGTTATCACAGACGTGTGCGACTGATACAATAATTGTTAACGCGTGTGGAGGACCATGCAGAGAAAGGTACGGTTGTTCTGGATGAAAAAGTTTTCGTTTTGTTCATGTGATTTGTACTATTAGTGTTGTTACATAAAATAATGTTTTTATATAACATACGTTTCAATTATGAAATTATTCAAATACAACTCAGAATGAAATAATGTAGATAAAGTAGTATAATTTAGAGATTTATTCATAAATATTATGATATAACTCATAAAATATTTAGGCAGTAGCATCGTTGATATTCAATAATATATTTTAAGCCCTGCGTCACTAATAATCGTGATCGATTCTACGCATTACATTTGTTAAAACATTTTGTGCTCAAGAAATAACTGTGACGACCACACGAATGAATTTTGTTGTTCCATGTAAATATTACATTCATACTTTTAAATAATTAGTGATATTCTATAAATTATGGCGATACGAAATTTTCTGAGGTGCCTTGTTAGTGTAGACTTAAATCAAATAGAAAGTAATAAAGTGTAAGAAATAACAGCATAAGTTTGGTAACGTACCAAAAGAATTAATTGCTTCAGATGACTGTAGAACTTCCCAGCGTTTTGTGTTGAATTAGAGACATTGATCGGTCTATGAAATGTGAAGAATGCAACACTGTATACAGCTGGGTAGTTTCCTACTCGCTAGCTTCGATTAGTTAACCTGAAACGTTTTATACAGTATGCTCTATTTGAAACGCAACCATAAGAACTAAGTGATCTAGTAGATAGTTACCAGCGTTCCTCCGCCAAGTTTGTAAAAGCCATACGGCGTCACAGCCCACAAAAGCACGATCAACTCTTCACGGTCCAGACAGTTTCTTTAGTAAAAATAAATACAAATTTTATTTCTCAAGGCCTTTTGAACACTGCTTGCAATTTTAAATTTTGGAGCAATATTTTAGACTTTGTATTTTTTATAACTAGGTCATTGAACAACAAAGTCCTCGTCGCTACCTGACATTAACTCCATAAACATCCTTGAAATATCCATTATCTATTGAGTTCATCCATGAAGTTATAACACTGACAAAAAAGAAACTGTTATCACCATTGACAGAGTTGCTGAAGGAAAACAAAACAGGGATATTTCGAAATTGTTGCAAGGACATTGTTATATACGACCTGTAAAGATATCAAACGAATAGATTATCATGTATTTGTTGTTTTTTTATTACGGTCCTAAATTCTATAATTGCTTGCGGCTTGACGTTTGCGATAACCCTTGTAACATCAGTATATCTGACGTACAGAGACGTCACAAACACAGAGTAGGGCTACGTCTACGATTGAATAACACATTATCTATTAATATCTCATATCTAAAACTATCACTTTTCTTCCTTCATCTGTTGCTTCGTAGAGAGAACTACTGACCACTCTAAATGTGTTGAATAGTAAAGGTGACGTGACGGACCGCAGAGAAAATGCCTTGAAGTCGTTCACGTGAATTCAAAATCTCCTATGATAGCCATCGTCGGCCCACTATTAATAATAGATGGAAAATGTGGCACTTGGTCCTTAACGGCTGAAGGTGGTTATAGTAGCGTACGTAAATAACTTCCATTTTGAAATAATGTGTTGTAAATGAGCATAATAATGACTCTTGAGCAGAAATATGTTTGCTCGGTGAGTTATCACTCTTATAATATAACGATGTAGGAGCTACTAACGAACTTCAAAACTACATTATTGCGTGTTATATTGTTTAGTCATCAAGCCCAGTCATCATTTCATGGCTGTTATTTAAAAAAAAACAATATTGATCGAAAAGATATAGGGATATATACCTTCAAATATACATCTTCTCCATTCTTCAATGTATTAAATGTTTAATTTTGTAAACTTTCACGTCTAGTGACATTCCCTGTCCGATTGATACGTAACCTCACTTTTATCATATATTTTCATTGAATTAATAGTCCACTGTAGATGCCCAGTTTAATTAAAAATCTCGAAATTTAACCGAATATGATCGCGATCAGACAGGCGAACGAGAAACTCAAAGGTGGCACGAATTTATACTCTGGTACAAAATTTGTCTATAATGTAGAGAGAAGATATTTGGCGGCTGTGCTCATGGCACAGAACGACCTTTACGCTATGTGCGATCGCTGCGTCAGCTGTCGTATTTCGTAGTCCTACTGGTACAGCCGTCAAATATCCTCGCTGTAGTATGGCTCACAATTGGGAAACAGAGGACAAATATTAAATGTCAGTATTTGGAATGTGAACACTATAGAATTCGAAATAAGATAATACTTATTTACTTTGTTTTATAATTTGTTGTGTTATATTTTTTCTGACCTTTTCAAACTGAACAAATGTTTATTATTTTCAGTCTTCAGAATCGCCTCTCATACTGTGTATCACTTAGGTACACCTTTCTAGAATTTCAGCATTAATGATTAATGGCATTAAGAAAGTTACTTTTAGTGGCAATGAAGGCATTTGGCCTATTCTTGTACTTCTCGAAGATTCTAAATGTTTTTGATTACAAAATGTATTGGCCGAATGGTTACTCTTGCGTCATATTTGGGGGGTCTTGCCCCTAACTTGGGACTGAGGGTATGATAATGTGCTGCTTGGTCAGGGCTATGTGAGTATAAAGCAATGGTGGAATGATGATTAACAGGGGATAATTGAGAATTTGGAAGAGCTTGCTCCAGTGACATTTAATTTAGCACAAATGTCAATTGAAGTCACCTGGGATTGAACCGGGATCTCCACAGTGAAAAGCCAGCATCTAGCCACCTGAACTTTGTGATAGATAGGGCTGATATATGTTACTGAAATTTGTATGTAACTTGTGTTGAAAAATCATGAAGATACAAACACCGACACTGATCGTGACATTTACTTCCAGCTACACGTATGAGGACATAAGAGAGACTTCAGGATTTCTGCTGCAGAAAACAAAATACAGACCTGAGATTGGCATCATCTGTGGCTCAGGACTTGGTAAGATATATTCAGTAGCCTTGAATTTGTATTGCCCTCCATAAAACAAGGTCTTGCATTATTGTAACAGGATCTAGGTTATGTTGCTATCGGCTACTTTCATAATTGTATTTACTGGTGATGCATGCAAATGATGAAATCTTGTCTGGCAATAAGCCACAATAATCTGGAGGAGAAGTTTGACAGTTTGGAGACCATTGCACTTCTGCTCCAAACTGATGTTGCTGATTGCCCAGGATATTATCATTTCAATCACTGTGAAAACACAAAGTTCTATTTTTATAAATGTAGGCAATAATGTGACACTTGGCAAATTTATTATTAAGTGTAGATAAGTTTCAGTAGGAAGTCTTACAGTTTAATTGTCATTCATATTAGTATCAGACGTTCATTTCTGTTTCTATGTTTTTCACACATTTTGTAACAATTAGTACTTGTATATGAAATATACTTGTTGACTGTAGCTAAACGTCAAAAATACATATAAAACGGACCTTACTAACCTGAAGTGAATAATGAAGTCGCCATTATGCCAGAGAAAATTAATTTGCTTTTCTTTCTTCCTTGTATGATTAATATATGCAAACATTAAAAGCTTTATTTTAATTTATTAATATTATATCGTAATACATACAATCTCTATGCCAACACTTGTCTTCCTTGTTGTGATAGGTTCATTGGCAGAATCACTTACAGAGAAACAGTACATCCCATACAAAGAAGTTCCACATTTCCCAGTATCAACAGTGAAAGGCCATGTGGGTCAGCTCGTATTTGGTATGCTCCAGGGAGTGCCTATCATGTGCATGCAGGGGCGTTTTCATTATTACGAGGGATATCCTATCTGCAAGGTAGGGTTTAGAGTTGTTAGCCTGGTTCATTTAATGATGCTGTCACTTTACTTTGCCACATCAAGTAATTTCTTGTCTGTACAGTGGTAATGATTTTGTATTGCAGTGCGCAATGCCCGTCCGTGTGATGAAGATGATTGGAGTAAATTATCTGATAGCAACAAATGCTGCTGGTGGCCTTAATGAAAGTTATAATGTTGGTGACATAGTGGTTATCAAGGATCATGTAAACTTCATGGGTTTTGCAGGAGTCAACCCTCTGAGAGGTCCAAATGATGAGAGGTAAAGAATATATGATATTCAAATAATGATTTCTGTTACCTGTAGAGATTTTCATGTTATGTGTTCATTTGAAGAGAAACCAAAATCATGGCACGCTGTAGTTCTTGAAAAGTTGGTGACAAATTTCACCACTTTTATGGAATAAAATCTTGCCATTGAAACTTGTTTTCAGCCAACTCAATCCTGTCCATGCCCTCACATACTGGTTCACAAAGATTGATTTTAACATTTTCCTTCCTCCACTAGAACTCCTAAGTCATCCTTTTCCTTTGGGTTTTTTCAACTATACCACTACTCTTCTTAGGTTAAAGAGTACACATTTTTTAAAATTCCTCAGAATAATCTCCATTTGTTCAAACCAATGTGGGGATCTGCAACCAGAATGTTACATAAGAAGATACTAGAAAATGTTTGTCAAAGTACATGTGTATGATACAAGACAGCTTATACTAATGGGTAGTCTGAGCTTGGTAAAGCACGGCAGACATTCAGTTCTTTAATTAAGATGTAATAATTTTTATCAAATTCCCTAATTTTAAAGCAGAATTGATGGTCTTGGCCAAATTTTACCATTTGACTATTCTTTGCTTATTATTTACATTTTTTTACATGCTACCATATTTTTTCTTTTATTGTTTATTTCTGTGTTGATCTGTCTGTTAAATGTTTCATTTTAAAATACTGTTTCTGTCAAGATTTGGTCCAAGATTCCCAGCAGTGAGCAAAGCTTACAATGCTGAATTGAGAGCAGCAGCCTTAAAAATTGGCAAGGAGATGGGCATTCAGAACTCACTGCATGAAGGAGTTTACACGTGTCTTGGTGGACCCAACTTTGAGACCATAGCAGAACTTGCTGCAATGAAAGTTCTTGGAATTGATGCGGTTGGTGAGTTGACTGAAAATATTCTTGCAGCAGATTAGCATAGTAAACTGTGTTTTCTTGATGATAATAAAAATGTAGGTCTTTATAGTACTAAAATAACATAACAAACACTTTCATCTGTTTCAAAACTTCTGTGGTAGACATTTTTCATTTTATAGGTTATGGAATGTTTATCATATTTTGCTTACATTTTCAGGACTGAAACAGGTGTTTGATGTGACTGTCCTTAACATTAACAAAATGTTACATAAAAATATTCATATACTGTATATTCAGTACATAGTTTGTCTGTGCACCATGTGTCGTACTTGGAAAATTGCTGTGCGAAATGTCACAACCCCTTTGTGCTCTGTTTTTCTGAGGGCTTTGGTGCTTACATGTAGATGAATATGAATTAGTATTTGTTCTGTCACATGTGCACACACACTCACATTTATATATGTATATAGATAATATACATATCAAATATTGTTAATATTAATTCTAAACACCACAGACGCGTGTGACAAAAGTTTTAGTGTTACTTCATTATATATTTTTAAGATGTTCTGGCATCAAAGTACCAAATTTTGTTAGTATTAACAGCCTTTCCAATACATAACTATAATTTCATGGTCAAGCTTTACCTTACTTGACATTTCCATTTCAATTTGTGTCTTTGTGTCTGTCTTTTCTGACAGGTATGAGCACTGTCCATGAGGTTATTGTGGCTTGTCACAGTGGCATAACTGTGTTCGCATTTAGCCTCATCACCAACAAATGTTTGACCACATATGATGACGATGATGTTGCAAACCATGAGGAAGTGATGGAAACTGCCAAAAACAAGGAGGATGTTCTGAAAGAGTTTGTCTCCCGCATGGTCCAACACATTCAGAAAATAGGAGGGAAATAAGAAATTTAATTTTATTCCAGAAGATCTAAAAACCCCTTTGTGCTCTGTTTTTCTGAGGGCTTTGGTGCTTACATGTAGATGAATATGAATTAGTATTTGTTCTGTCACATGTGCACACACACTCACATTTATATATGTATATAGATAATATACATATCAAATATTGTTAATATTAATTCTAAACACCACAGACGCGTGTGACAAAAGTTTTAGTGTTACTTCATTATATATTTTTAAGATGTTCTGGCATCAAAGTACCAAATTTTGTTAGTATTAACAGCCTTTCCAATACATAACTATAATTTCATGGTCAAGCTTTACCTTACTTGACATTTCCATTTCAATTTGTGTCTTTGTGTCTGTCTTTTCTGACAGGTATGAGCACTGTCCATGAGGTTATTGTGGCTTGTCACAGTGGCATAACTGTGTTCGCATTTAGCCTCATCACCAACAAATGTTTGACCACATATGATGACGATGATGTTGCAAACCATGAGGAAGTGATGGAAACTGCCAAAAACAAGGAGGATGTTCTGAAAGAGTTTGTCTCCCGCATGGTCCAACACATTCAGAAAATAGGAGGGAAATAAGAAATTTAATTTTATTCCAGAAGATCTAAAACAGTGGTCCCCCAACCTTTTTGTGCCTACGGGCACATTTGAGAGTTTATGAGATCATAGCGGGCACAAACCAATTAACAAAGCCAAATTTTCTTTTCTCTGGACAAATAAGATATGGACACCAAATAATACGCAAAACAACACGATGTTTAATGATACAAGAAACCACGCAATCAAAAATACGTAGTTTCATAAGTACAATTATTATTACTCAAGTGGGAAGTTAGTGCGATGTTTGGCGCTGCATTTCATCGGCCAGTTATTCAAATTTGGGAGTGCAGGATGATGTTGCTGCTCGCAAACAATCGTCAAGATGGGCATCAGTAAGTCGAGATCTGTGCTTTGATTTTAAAATGTTCGTGGTTGAACGGCCTTCATTATTCAGTATAACCTCTTTCCGTAACAATGCGGGCACCCAAAAGAAGCCTTGGCGGGCGCCGCGTTGGGGACCACTGATCTAGAACACCATCATGATGGTAATCTGATTCCAGACAGAAGAGCAGAGTGGTTGAAGATGATGATTGTGTCAGATCTGATTTTAAGCTACAGATTATAATCTTAAAGAGAACTATTGTTATCTGTAATAAATAATTTAAATTATAAGACATAAATTTGATGAGTTTGCTGTAAATTAAAATATTAACCCATTTCAACAGGGAAGAAGTCACAGATAAGTAGCAAAAATGTAATAATACTTAACGAGGTGAGGAAGCGGCACACGGGTGTGGGGAGCTCTGTAGTTTGCACCACTGCATTTGATTTGTGTACTGTCTTATCTTTAACACCGAGTAACTCGGACAACATGTATAATGATTTCTGTAATTTATTTTTTGCTTAACAATTATATATACACGCAATGCCAACATGAGAAAACTATTTATTTAGTTTGTATGCTATGTTTATTTAAAACACAATGTAAAAGTCTGACAGTAGTATCAGTTATCACTTTTAATTGCTAGTTTCTTTTAGATATCAGTTGGCATGTAACATTTTGTAGAGTTGAATGTTATGCTTATCATACTATGACATTCTTATAATTTTACAGAGTTAACCTTGAACTTTATAATAATTCCCTGGTCTGTTTAGATTCTTCCTGGCACTTACATTAATGGGCATGAGTTGATAGTGAAACTAACTTGTAGAAACGCATGAATACAAAATCCACACAAGACACTTGATGCTCTGTCAGTGATACATGATATTTCCTCAGAGTACAAATATTGTTCATTTAAAGGAAGGGATTTACTACATAATTTATTTATTTATTGTGAAAAAAATAATCATACAGTAATTTTATACTCTTGAAAACACATACTGATGAAGGCTATGGCAAAGCTTATGAAAGTCTGCAGACAGTGTTAACCATTGAATGATAGAAGAAGTGGGTGTACTAATTTGGTCCTTTGGCCTTACAGTTCTATAATATTTTTTTTTCCTTCAAATTCAACATTTTGTATTCATAGGAGCATAAATATTTCTTAACAGGCCTGATTTAAAACCTACACGTGTACCTTCTTATAAAACATATATCTATATCCTTCGTTCTAAGCTCTGAGATTCTGCATTTCCCTCCCTCTACTTGTTATTTTGATTATAACCATCAACACAATTCCATAAGCGAAGAGCAGATGTATTATTAATGGATTGATTCAGACCAATATTAAATTTGTCTGACAACTTTTTAGTAGATCCCAGTATCAGATTATTTAAATCTCTTCAGTAATTCCAGAGATTAAACATTTTGATGAATGGATTGATACAACCTGTCTATTATATTAATATTTAACGTACAGAAATATGAATTAAGTTACGCACATAATAAAATATATGAACGTGTCTTGGGTCTTTTCTTCCAGATTCTTTCTCATCATACTTTCAATATCCCACTTCCTATACCAGACATGAGCTTATTGTTATCTGCATGTGTGATGGAAAAGTATTGTAATTATAATATATGAGCATTTTTATGATCTGTATTTACTCTAGTGCCAACAGGATTCACATTACATTATAAAAACAAATACAAAATTAATATATAATAATATGCCTCTGATGTTCATATTCATAGTTCAGTGTTTTGAAAATTCACATAGCCTGCTCATTTATAAAGTAAAGAATCCAGAATAAAAAAACTTTACATGCAATATGAGCAAGTCATTTAAGCAGCAGACACCTTTCTCACTGGAATAAGATACAGGTTCAACATAAAACAGTGGTCTTGAAGTTCAGATAATTTGTTTCATGATTAATCATTTCTGTCTGCTATAACCACTCCAAGATGCTGAGAAACCTGTAATATTACTGTAGTGTTGAGGTTCTCATGGTGGTGAAGATGACATTTATGACTTTCTGCATTGTGACAGCACGTAGTCTTGTAGCTGATTACCAGCATTTTGAAGGATTGTGTTGTCTCCATTATCAGAGTTTACTTTAATCCAAAAGATGAAGGTGACCTGTAATATTATATGGCATCACAATGCAGAAGAACATACTTGACTGCAATATTATTATTTGCAGCATTAAGACAAAAAGTATTGCAACAGTGATAGTAAAAATGCAGCCAAAATAAGTGATGTGACATAATTATTACAATCCTACAGAATGTTTTTGTTAGGTGAGTTTACAATGTGAATTGTACTGGTGTGTAAAAATACAGTGTGATGTGACTTCCTCTAAATCTCTTACCATTATTGTCCATGTGTTGCATCTTATGCATGACCTACCTGACCATTAATGTGTGGCATTAAACAAGAACATAAAGTACAGTTAGCAAGCCTGTAGTACAATATGATAAAGGCTGTGATGCACATAATAAAAGTTCTACCAGAGATAAAAACAAAATGAATTGATAATTCTTTTTCAAAGTTGCTACCTTTATTTTTCATTCACAAAAATAAATCCTGCAGGAACATTTGGCCCTCATTTAACAGGTGTAGTTTTTCATCATTTGTCATTGTCAGTGCTTCCTCGTAACCATAGCAACTTAAAAACAAAAAACTCGGTAGCCTAAGCATATTTCCAGAATTAGCAACCAGATGGCCATTTGTATGCTGTATCACAACTTAATCGTTAGTCTCAAACACAGATGTCGGAAGGACGAAAACGACATGTTGTTCTGTCATCTGTGGTGTGAGTTGTGTACTGTGGATTTGTGCTCTGTGGTTCCATATCGGCAACATTTGGAATGAATCCGTCGACAGGAGCTTTTGAATGCGTGTTGAGAGAAGAAAATGCGTTTTTAATGTCTTGTGTTGTGAAGTTTATCGTAGATACAATACTAATTAATAAACCGTGATTGAAGTAGTTATGGAAATTCACATGAAGTTTAAAGAATTACAGCAGCTAGTGTGTTGTCATTGAAATGTTGATAGTGACAATTTACGTGCCAAGTCTACATCTTTGAAAAGGGAAGTTGCATGGGGACTATAACAGTTTTTTAAATGTCAGAAGGTATTACTTTAACATTACTCATCAGTGCAGTAAACCATATATATAAATATAAGAAATCAAGAAATTGTCATATCCAAGTTTCTGAGGTGACACCATATTTTGCAAGAATCATCTCAACTGAGCGATATTAACTAAGCAACTTCCTTACTTTTGTAATATATATTATGTATTTTATTGAGAAGTAACCCAGAATCGTATCAATGGTGGACATGGCAGGAGTGGGCTACGGCCGTTCAGGAGTGTTAGAGACGCATGTACGAGGACAGTGGTATCGGGTATTTGTGACATTGGAAGATGATTACCTAAGTATAAGTTTAGATGAAAGCTATGAGAACTCAACAACTCTAAATGGGAGCTTGAATAACAATAATAACAACAATAATAATGTTGACTCTGGTACAGGACTCTTGGATGCAGTTGATGTGCCAGAGTCAGTGGCTAATCAGAAAAGACTTGTGAGAGTGGTCAAGTCTGACAACAATGGTTTAGGGATATCAATTAAGGGTGGGAAAGAAAACAAAATGCCAATCCTGATATCAAAGATTTTTAAAGGAATGGCAGCTGATCAGACTGAACAACTTTATGTTGGTGATGCCATTCTCTCAGTGAATGGTGAAGACTTGAGAGATGCCACACATGATGAAGCAGTAAAGGCATTGAAGAGAGCTGGAAAAGTTGTTGAGTTAGAAGGTAAGCTTTAGATGTCATGTTCATTAATTTTCTAGAGTAAGATAGTAAGTCATAGTGGTAAGACTAGGTATGGATTTGAGCAAGATCATTAGTTTACAGTGAAAATGATGTATGTATGGAGGAAAGGGGATTTGGAAGTTTACACGGTACTTACATTTGCTTTCAGTAATTCATTTAAATGTTTTAACATATCTGTTTGGTTTTGGGGGTGTTTTCTATAACATGGAGAACTTAAGTAGTTTTAATGAAAGTGGCAAAAGTAAACTTGTAATTTTATTGTAAATTGTTGAACTATTTCTACTGAAACAGTTTTACATTTCAATTCTAGCTTTGGTTACAAGGTCATTGATTTATACATATGAAATAAATTCTGAACTCTAACCGGGTGTTCATCTGTGCATTGAAATTGTATTTCTTGCACGCATTATATGATCCTTTCATACATTTTTATTGTAATAAATTGGGACATGTATGTTCTGACATTTTACATAAATACACTTACCAGTAACATTTTCTATATCTTGTTAAAGGTGGTTGTTTGCTGCAGATCATTTGTGTTATTTCCATGGAGGATGCAGTTGTGTTTTACAATTTAATTTTATGTTTCTTTGCTCCATGCCATTTGTCTGTCATCAACTCACAGTATTCAGATAGAAATGTATTCTGACACTCCATCTGAAATATATATGTTGCTAGAGCAGAGGCCACCAAACCTTTTACAAGTTGGCCACTTTGTCAATAAATTATGTGCTTGTGGACTGGACATACAAGGCCAGTTTTTTTTAATGGAAGCACCTTGTATATAAATTTAGGTTGTTTTCGTGTCAAAAAGTAGTGTGGAAAGTTGGATAAATTACATTTTTTCTGGGAAACTTTTCGGCATGTCTGATCTAACTTTAATTTTTTTAATCGGACATGAACTGTGATCAGACATGATGGAACATAAGTGTGAAAAATGAAAATATTGCATTCTGTATCAGGCACATTTGTAGGTACTTTGTCTATCACATTTATAATTTCTATATGTCTTGATTAAGAAAACATTCCATGGTTAGTATAGCGGAGAAATGCTTCAATTATGTTATTTTGTGGATATTGGTGTTTTTTTCAGTTTTTAAATATGCATATTAGTAATGCAACACTTAATACTTTCAGAGCTTATGAATGTTATAAACGTTTTTTGAATGATCAGCCATGTTAACATGGTTGATCACCTGAGAAGTATTAATATTAGAGAAATTTAGTGCCTGGGAGTGGTCTGGTTTCAAGAAGCTTTGGATATACACCAGCTAGAATACAATTTATTTAGATTCCTTAGATCGTTCACAGGCCAAGGCTAAGGATGTAGAATGTTTTATAGGCTGTTACACAAACACTAATGAACCTCTGGGTTCCATATAAAGCTCAGATGGGAAACTAAGTTTTTAATGATTCTGCTTTGTGGAGTAAGTTGTAGGTTATTTAACAATATCATGTCAGCTGCAGAGGTTACATAATATACTATTTTGGTATTGTTTCTTAGTTCACCATGAGGACTGTGAAGTGTGATACAAAAGGGATTCAGATTTAAACAAAGAATAAGAGTAGGTAGATGATGATGATTGATACCTAGGTGATTAAATTTTCTGAAAATATTTGAAAGACATGATTGTTAATGACAGTTATAAGAATGTGAAGATATCCGAATTTGTGTTTAATAGATCCTTGATCACAGAAAATAACTGTTAACAACACTTATGTTTGGGAGTAGTGTATTTTATCAGGGTTCTGGTAAATTTAATATATCTCTAATGTAATTCTTAAAGTTAATATTTTTTATTCAAGGTTCACTTTCTTATGATGAACCGTTCATGAGATGAACGATGTATGTGATGTTTCTTTTCCAGAATTATGTGGTTTTATACTTTGTAATACACAGCGAAGGTTCGGGAAACACAGAAAATTTGTTTCTGGCCTATGTGTTAACAGTCTGGATAACACAGGTAGATTGTTGTGGAAGCCAGACTCATATCTGTGTGTTCACAGGAAATGTCTTGAGTTTAGGTGAGCTGAGCCAAAAGAAAACAGTAATTTGAGTATAAAGTGAGACAAGTGGCAAGTGAGAGCTAAGTGTGCTGTAGCCTGCATTGTCTCTTGTCATGCTGTGAGAGGTAAACTGATCGGTTTCAATCACGTTTCACTGTTGGCCCTTTCTGAAGTGTTCTAAGTGGCACTGATGGTGTTGAATTTACAACAGCGAAACATGTTGTTTGTGATGGGAAATCTAAGTGGAATGAATATTGAGAAATTAATAATATGATGATAGCATAAAAATTGTTTGTTGGTAATTATTGAAGTGATCAGCAGCATGATATTCTTAGCACTGCAGTGCATGACAAGTTTGCATGGAAGCAATGGTATAGCATTAAGGTTTTACAGCTATTGTATCTCTGTGCATTAGTATGTAGTATTAATTGCATATGATTCCTCCATAATCCACAGTTAATTATTTCATTACAAACGTATTTATTGGCATGTCAGCATTTTTTATTTGAGTGGTTGCTGAAAATCAGGGTGTAAGAATTGTGAAGAATTTTAATTGATGACGATGACGATAATGATAATGTTTGAGTTTTTATTTTCAGAAGCATTTGAGATTAGAAAATTAAATAGACAGCGGTTTAAATGAATTCATTTCTCTTGAACTTAGACTTGGAGACGAATAATTTTAATTATGCATTTATTTGTATAGCATTTGACTATTTGTGCTGTCTTCATAATTATTAGTATTCCTAAAAATGTTTTTAATATGTCAGTGATTTAATGCTAATTTCAATTTGAATAATGAATACCTTAATTTATCTGTGTTTGTATGGTAGTTTAAAATACATTTAATTCGTTTGAAATGTCAAGAGATAGCAGGAGAATTTTTCACAGGCGTTATCAAGTACCATAGATGTTCAGAGCAAAACTTCTAGTGTTTCTGAATATAAAATGTCATTCATGGCATGGAAAGCGTTGCGATAAACTGTCCAATCTCACAATTATGTATTCATATGTATCTAATTAGTACTGATTGTACATTTAATTTGAGCGACTGGAGTTTGATTCCCAGCAGGGTAGGACCATCTTCACCCCTAATCTCAAATGCCCTCCAGTGTTGTGTTTTTTAATGTTTCAGAATTGTGTAGAACTATTCTGTTCTGTGTCGTGTTCATTGTTTTTTTCTGAATTACTGCCGTTTTTCTAACACTGTGCTGTTTATAATTGCCTGCCCTACTACATTTCTTATTTCATATTGAACCATTATCAGGTATGGTATTAGACCATACTGATATAAATTAATAAATAGTAGGGAGTGTGTTTAATGTTATTGATAACGTTCTTATCATATCCCATCCAGAGATTATTCGGTGTGAACCAAAACATGTAGTGCTATAACCAGTTTTAATAAAACAAAACATTGTGCTAATTGGATAGAATAGCGTTTGTTTTTGTTTTTTCCCCAAGTTTATGACTTGATGACTTTTTTTAGTAAAGTCAGAGGTGACGTTTATTTCATTGTAGTAGTCCTGCCACGGACATCTTGCAGAAATTAAGATGTTAATATATTTTGTGTCAGGAACTTAAACCGTGTATTGTTGACACAATCACCCCTCTTTATTTCCACGATTCGTGTTTTGAATGTAACCTACTAGAATATTCAACATTTCACGTTCGTGACAATTTCGTTCCGTAAACTTCGTGAGAGATTATTAACGTATTTACAAAGTTAGAGCAATGTTGACTGTAACATCACAAAATACATCATGAATGAATTGGTGTTGACTGAATTCTGCTTGGTAGAGATGCGTATGCTAATCCTTATTAGCGCTACAAATTAACGTTTTTAACAGCTACTAATATCTAGTGACTTCTTTCACAGCGTAGTGCTACATTTCGCATTAGTATACTGAGTAATTAAATGTTACGTTATGTTATTTATTTTGGCATGACCACAGTAGCTGCGGAGGTAAACCAGTCTTCATAGGAACGCGTAAAGTATCAAGTTTAAAGTGTAGCCTGTCAGTAACTGGTTACGTAGGGCCTCGCTAATTCTAAGTAAAAGAAACGGCTGGCAGAAGAGGACATTATTTTCTCACAAACAGCTAAATTATTTACATATTTCTGGAAAGTTTCAGATGACATTGCTGGCTGAATTTGGCATTATAAAATTGGATTATTTTATTCTCTCTGCTCGTTGCTATGGGAGTCGATGCGACTGTTTGCCAGATGTTACGGAGGTTAGCAGTGCCGTTTTTATCCCAGAGCTCAGGACTGATTTCGAAGTATCAAGCTCTTATATTACATTATTTACTGTGATTTTACTCGTAATTAATTCAGTGAGTTGAGGAACTTTTGATTTATGCATATCTAAATAAGATTTAGGGTATTTAACAATGACGAATGCTTCTGTCTGCCTACTAGTGCGCCGACAGACCAATAACATCGGCGTAATATAAAAGATTATTATTACTGTTTTCGTTATTGAAGTACTCAAGCATCATGGTCTGATTCTTAGGAAGTTTGATAACGTTTTTAGACAACTTTATGTCTAGACCGGGATTTGCTACCGGCTGTTAGAATCGCCATGCTTTGGATGCTCTTGAGTTCGGAAATATACCCATTAAGAACTTCTCAGCGTTAACAAAACAGTTTATACTGTTCCACTGTGTTTAACATTTTGATTGTGGTGATTTTATGTATATCATGATATACGCCCAACATCTCTGAATCTTTGTTCTTGTTAGTGCCTGAAGACGATATTAAACTTTAAAAGGCAATTTTCTTCGCCTCATTAGAACGGAGGTCTTGACAAACATTGGTTTTATTTCACGGCTTTGAGAAGTATTTGTGCATGGTCTGGAGTTGCGAACTTAAAATCGGTTCCTTGTGATCTTCAATGGAGAACATTTTGTTATCGTAAATAAGTGAGGATGTAATTTGTGGATCCTATGTTCGTTAATAAGTAGGTTGGATGG